AGAAGTGAAATCTGCCTGAGGGTCCAGGGTCTCACCTTTCTTTTTTGACTGAATGAGCAAAGTCCAGTGTCTTTGTCAGTCCTCAGTCTTTGTAATTAAAACATGATTACATTGAACACAGCTCAGCTTATCATCTGCTTCTTTAAACAGAATTCAGTTGTGCTGTCTAAACTGTGGTATCAGTCAGTTGTTACTAAAATTTCATCAGTGCTTTAATCTTTATGAATCTTCATTCTTACATGGTTCAAACCACGCTCTCCGTACAAACTGCTATTGCCTTTAAAGTGTTAGGGCTGCTTCTGCTAAATGCAATGAATTATAATCCAGTTTTGTAAAAATGACACATATTACACTCCTTGCTGTGAGAAAAGATTCTAATTTTGTTTGGTTTTTTTTTTTTGTAAATTTAACTGAAAAGCAATTAAAAGAAACAAAAAATAGAATTGGCTTTTTTTTTCTGATTTTCATTGGAACAGTCCCATGGAAAATGTCCAGCAAACTCAGGTATATACAGAGCAGGACTTTTGGTGACCACTCCTCTGTGACTAAACAGGATGTTGCTCTTAGAGAATTGTGATTCACCATCAAAGTAGTCTCTGATGAGTTAACAGTTTTAGGTAATTACATGGTTTGCAATGTTTTCTAAAAGTTAATTGTGATACAAAAGGTGTAATCTTTGTCTTCTAGGAAGTTTTGATACAAATGTTTACTAGCCTTTAAGAAAATGTGACTTATTTACAACTATACAGGACAATGGATTCTGGGTCAGAGGAATAAGTTGTACATAAAAATCACTGGATAGGAGGAATGGTTAGATGAATAAATGTGTCTTCAACTTTTTTTAATGAAGTGTCAGGAAGTCGTATGGTCATCTGAAAAGCTTTCAAATGTAGCTATAAGTACAGAACCCGTACAATTAATGGCAATGTATTTCTGACAGCTTGACCACATTTAAGCTTTCCTTGATGTTATGCTGTGCAAGAATGCTGATTTCTACAATAGGCAGGTACATGGATTCAGTTTTAGGTATTGAGATGCCTTTATATTATTCTTATATCAACAGAAGCAAACAAACTACAAAGGAGCCTTGCTAGACTTTTTAATTATATATTTTTTTAATCAATAAAACACAAGGAATAATTTTACAGGAACTCTTTATTTTAATCAGTAAAACACATGGAATAATTTTACATGAAAAAGAAACTGCTGTGCAGAAGTTGTGATTTTCTTAAATAAGATGGAAATTCCCTTATATTACCGTTAAGCAGTATAATTAATGATGGTACAGTCTGATTCTCTTGCTCTGCTTTAACTTTTGAATGGCTCATGATCTATAAAATAGTTACATCAAGAATTAAAACAATCAGATTATGTGGAATTCACTACACGAGTATGACCCTAACTCCAGCCTCTGGGTGCCAAGTGAGCTGAAAACCCTTGGCTCCAGTTTAAGGTAGATTCCCCTGACTCAAGCTCTGCAGAAGAGGAACACCATGCTCAAAATGACTCAGAACAGATGTACTAAAGGGCTCAGGTAAGCTATCAGGATAGGTGGGTTGCATCTGCATCAAGGGCTCATAATACAGACTTAGAGTGACACCAGACAAGCACAGGAACATAAGCAGCTGCCCAGGGAGACTGCTCCAATGTACATGCTATTTTCTAAGCTTTCCAAAGTTACATAAGGGATCAGCAACCTCTAGAACTGTCTCAAATTGAAGCAGGAGTGATAGTTTAAAGCTTTTGCTCCTTTGCAGAAAAGTTCTATGCTATAGAAATGTAGTTTGTCCATTCCCTTTAAGATTAGCTACTTCAGTGCTGAAATTAGGAACTGAGCTGGACCAGAGTCCCTCCATCACTTAAGCTCTGACTATAAACCCTGTATATGTATATATATATTTACTATAGGCTTTAATTTGAATGAAAAAAATTTTAGCTTGTTAGTTATTAGAATCATATTGCAACCCTAATGTGTCCTTTTATAGGAACAAAATAGATTACACACTGTTCTGATATATTTTCTGCCTGCCAAATTTCCGTGAGATGTTCCCGATGTTTGCAATATTGCTTTCAATAGACTCTTCTGTTGGATATAGTGAAAAGTAGTAAAATACTCCTCCTGCAGTGCTCTGTAGAAAGGCTCTTATGAATAAAAATATCAATTTTACTAATTTAGCTTGTGTAAGAATAACATGCTATAGTGATATCCCCAATTTTACTAATTTAGCGTGTGTAAGAATAATGTGCTATAGTGCTATCCCCTTTAGATACTTACATTTTAAATAGATATTATAAATGAAAATCTGATAATAGGACAAATGTGAAAAGGGTGAAAGCATCATGACAAAGGGAAGCAGTGTGGTTATATGAAGCTTATTACTGTTTTTACAGTGCAAAGCAAGTCTAAAAAGAATGGAACACTGATCTCAAATATACTTTGCATTGATAAAATACGTATTTTCGTGTAGCCTTTATTTAGGGAAAAAGACTGTCTTATTGACATATTTTTTCAGTTAGGCTGATGCTTTAAAATAAGACATGAAGTGTCATCAGAAAAGAAAAAGCTCTGGTTAACAGCTTATCACAACTGAAAATTAAAATACTTAAAATAAAAGTATGCTGCATAAAAATTATGTACGGCTTGCATAACCTGTGAGTAATTTTATGAAGCCAGGAAAAATGACCTCATGGTTAACAAACTGCCTGAATAATAATAAATATAAGTATTTCCTCTGCTGCCACAGGCTTTCTATGTGTGCATAGGTGAGTCACAATTCTTTCATAATTCTGTTCCTTTACAAACCATAATAGGGTAGCAGCACTTTTATGCCTTTACAGAGATACTGTAAGGAAAAAACATTTACAATTCTGAGGCATTCAGATACTACAGTGACAAATGCCATTTAAATCTTTCAACCAAATTGGAAAAATCATACCTTTACTTAAAATAAACCTGCATCTCACATGGGACTGAAACGCCTTGATGAATATTAATTTATCTTCACTGTTCAACAAATGGGTTTTTGCTTTCCTTTAGGGACAGCTAAACTCAAACAAGGAATGAAATAAGGATTCTATACACAACTCCTCTATGTCATCTTTTTTCTTCCATTCAAGTCTTCCTTCTGTGCTCAGAACCAGGACAACTCACCTCATGCCCCTCCAGATAGGGAGGGAGCACTTCCAGGTGCTCAGATGAGCACAGCCAGGGAGTCTGCCAACTCAGTGGCTCTCACAGTCTCCGCAAAGCACAGCCACCCACAGTGTTCCCATGGAGGGCTTTGCCCTCTCTGAGTCATGCTGCTACCTTCAGCAGACTATTGCTGGAAATAACCACCTTTGCCACAGACACAAGGAGAAACTGCAAACACTTTCAAACTTAATCTTACTTGCTGCATCCACATAGTCTCAGCCTTTTCCTTAAAAAGAACTACTTCTTAAAAAGAACTACTCTCTAAGAGCTAAACAGAAGGAACTTAAGAGTGACAGCATCTTTCAAACAGTAAAGCACCTCATGGCACACTTCCAGAGTTGTACTTGCCAGCATGTTCAAACCAATCTATGGTTTCTTTTTACAGAAAAAAAACAAAAACAAACCCAAACCGAAAGAAAACAAAACTCTTTATAAAATGTATTACTGCTTTTTAAGCTATAAAGTCAGTGCTGGATTAAAACCTTTAGGAAACCTACAATGATTTTGGTTTCACTTCAATGACATTTGTATCAAGAGAAGGAACATTTTTTCCTGGCTTCCTTGGGAAGGCAAAACTCTTCTACAAACCAGTATGTCTTATAAAACTCAGGATGTCTCCTCAACATTTTCTGACCTATTGGCAATCAATAGCAAGCCATCTCATGCTAAGTCAAAACTGCACTTTGCCAGCATGCTTCTATTTTCTTCTGTAAATTTTGTGTGGCTGTAAGTAATATAGGAAGCTCTTAAGGACAAGGTATAGACAGAGCCCTGGTGAGAGATCTTCATAGAAGGAAGACAAGTGTGTGAAAGAAAGTTAAAAACAGAATAGTGTAACTAGAAAGAAAACATTTCTTAAATCTTTTGCTATCTACATTTCAGTGTGGTCTCATATAAACTTTTAATCTTTGACAAAAAATAAACATAATTTGTTAAGTGCTTATTTAGTATGCAAATTCTTCACTACTTCTTAAACTCGTAAGTAACAAAGATGAGGTGCGACTTAATTTACTAGAAGCTTGCCAGTGCTGAATTTCCTATCTGTGCTCTTTTGTTAATTATAATTTTGTACACGTTGAACTCATTGGATTAAATAGATACATGATAAATTTACAGTGACAGTTTATGAAGCACCCTCCTGGCTACTCCAAGATATACAGCAAGAGTTAAACTTTCAGGGTACCTCTAAACATTTTCTGCATAAATATGGATATTTCAGTTTGCAGATACAATTGTGCCCTGCTTATTTGAGTACAGTGTGCAATCAGATAGGTTTTGTGCATACATTTTTAGGCCTGCCAAAAATCTCTTTCAAGTTCAAACAGTTACACAGTTTAATGGATCAATCCTTTATGGTCCACTTGACCACAAAAATCTCTTTTATGAAGTATCCTGGGTTCAGCTGGACACACTAAAACAAGCAGAAAAAGAAAGCCAAGGTACTTCAGTAATTTTCACCCAAAATTCTGCATGTGCTTCTATCTTCTCAATTGTTATTACATCAGTTACGATACAGTATTTGGTGCATTCTCAAAGTTGGTATGTTTGGCTTTGTGAACTAGCAGTTTGCTTTCACAGAACTGATGAGGAAATTTGGAAAATGATGCTTTTTCCTTTTGAAAATTATAAGTTGATAAAAAAGATCGGGATTGCTACATAAAAGCTGACTTTTGCATAATTTGGAGTGAAAAATTGTTCTATATACATTTGTATATAAAAATATGATTATGCATTTTTCATATTAAAAAATGTTAGAATCTTTGAACTCAGTTACTCTCCAAAAATGAGTAACACTTATAGCATGTCCTTGAGTATCATAGAATGCCATAAGGGTGTTTATTCTTTCTTTGCATCATTCCTTTGCACATGTGCTTGATTTGCTTCTCGTTCTGCTTCTTGTTTAGAGTTTAGAAAATTTTGACCACTGCATCTAAGTTTATAATTTTACAGTAACATTTTAGAGGCAGACCTGAGCAAAAACTTCTGCTTTTTTTTTTTGTTTTTAATTCATTTCTCCATTTTCTTCTTTAGTGGTCTCTTGAAAAATCCAGCCTGAAGGAAAGAAAAAAAAAGTGACTAAAAAATGCTCAAGCATACAACCCATATTGGTTGCGTTCATGTGCTGGTTCTTAATACTTTTTTTTTAATACTTTCAGTACAGTTAAGAAGTGATTTAATATTTTGTCACTTTAATACAGCATTGCTTTTCCTGGAATGGAAAAGCTAAAGTGACATGTAGCAAAAGCCGACAAAAGGAAACAATATACAGCGAGTGATTGCTGAACCATTGTTATGCTCACATAATGTCAAAAGCTAAAATGCTTAATAATATTTGATATTAATTTGTATAAATAATACTGTATTTTATACTTGTCAAATCTTTCAAGAGGTTAGGTACGTTGAAATTTATAAACTGTAACCTTCCTATGCTAAATGTTTAGCTTGGAGTGCCCACTTGTGGCAATACTTACACCACAGGCCTAGCATCTCTTGCACAAACTAAAAAACTGGTTATCAAAGGCCACAGCCAAAGCTAAAAAAACTGCCCTTAATAAACCCTTAATCATAGTAAAATATCTTTTATTTTTCTTTTCATAACGTATTGGCAATATGAGTTTCAAGTGGTATCTGTGAGCAGAAAATTTAAGTATATTTTTTTATTTTCATGAAGACAAGAACATGCAGCTTACCTTCCACAAAGCAAATATAAGCAGTGCAAGAATCAGGAGTCCAGCGAAGATACTCAGAAGGATAACCCATAAGGGGACTGTACCTGGCGGAAGCTCTTTGGAAATCTTAATCATGGTCTGCAAATTGTTCAGAATATAAGCAGTAAATAACTTTTCCTTCTAACATATCAACAAAGCAGTGTGACTTTTTAGCAGCATGCAGTGATTTTCATGGGTACTTCATTTTAAGTACAGGAATTTGTAGGAGGGAATGGGAAAATAATCTGCAACACAAACCCCGATATTTACATAGTATCTTGCACTTTTAAGTGCATGCATTTCATGAGGGCGAGCCCTGCTGTAAGTCAGTAATCACTGTTATAAAGGATACAGGGCAAAAAAATGAATACATGAAGTGTATGTTGAGAATTTTCTTTAGGATATTCTTGATCCCTCACTGCCAGCCTCCCTAAAAGGTGGCAGTGATCAACAACCTTCTAAACCAGTTAAACAAAATAAGTGCAGAAGGCTGTGTAGATACTAATTTGATTTTAAACAAGGCACACCTGGTGCAAACTAAACTGAAATAAGGAATTTTCACATTTAAATAAATGTGACCATATGGGAGTTTGAATTATTTTAAGAATTTATTAGAGTTCAAAAAAGTTCAAAAAAGTTGAAGAACACTAAATATTCAACTTGAAATTATGTCTTAAAAAAGTTAATTCTGAAATTCCTTGGTGTGTAAACACAAGTCTCCCAGCTGTGTTTCACTCCTGGATTGAATTTTAATCTATCGCTTAAAAGAAATGCTCAAATACAATAGCAGCTATTAGTTGACCTGTCATATTTGTATTTTTGAAAATATTTTGCACAAGATGTAATTCATATTATTACTTTGCTCTAAATTTTGGGGTATTAACATACTAAGTCTTTTGCTTAAAAATGTACATTTTAGTAAATAAGGTGCTGCAGGTATAAGTTATTGCAGAAAAGTAATGCATTAACCACTATAAATGTGTTGGAATAACAAGTCTTAAAGGATAAATAACAACTCCAAATTAAAGATGTTTCTCTTTATACTTGACACCACTACTATAATTTTCTTTTTTCTAAGAAAATGACAGGGAAATTCCAAAACATAAAAGATCCCGTTTCAAATATATAACCAGGGTGCTGAAGTGGAAAGTAATAACAAAGAAAGAAATAATAAAGAAAATAGAATGCACAAAGTAAGAGCACTCTTAAATGACCCAGGACAACTTCTAAAATACTATTGATTCCTTAAAAGAATTTGAATTGCTTTTAATTTACATAGATGCAGGAAGCATTTATACTGCAGCAGGCAGAAATACTTCAGATAGTACTTCTCTCCCATGTATATTGATGGATAGTGGGATTTTGGTATCATTATCTGACTAATTCTGACATTTCTACGATAATAATGAAAACACTCCTATTCAGACTGAGATAATACTATAAAACAGGTAACAATCAGTTCACTAGGAATGAATGAAAATGAATGAAAGTAAACCCATGAATTATTATGTCCTTACCTCTAGTTTTTGATGGTCATTTCTCAGAATCAGTGACGAGTTCTCACTCCTAAGTAACGCTTTCACAACAAGGGTTAAGCTGTGAATACTGGCCTGGAAAAAGTAAGAAATGGCTATGGCTTATAATTAGGTATTTTGAAGCAGAGAAGAGAAGGGTGAAAGCAAAACTTTATGCTGCATTTTGGGATATGCTGAAAAATGTGAAAGCCAGTGAAGCTGCTTATGTGTGTCACACCTTCAGCATATATACTACTGTTTACAAGACAGCGATGAAGACTTGAAAGAGTCGATCACAGAGAGTTCAATTAAATACTAAGTAATTCTGGAATACTACGTTGTAAACAGGGGCAGATTCAGGCTTTATAAAAATTCTGCTGTATCTCCCCTCCTGTCCTTTCCATTAAAAAAGACACAAACCAGGAGCTCAGTATCACTGGGCAAAATGGACCACAACCTGGTCACTGTTGTAACCATCAAGACAGTAGTGAGCTGGAGTGCACTTTCTCTCCTCTGCTCTGTTTGATGAAAAAATATTTTTAAGACTTGAGAAATCTTTCCAGATTAGAAATCATTTTAAAATTATATTCTTCTATATACCCCTCCTTATATATGCTGAATTAGAATTTGTGGGTGTATAAATAACAACTATTCAAAAAAGTACCATTAATACAGAATAAGGTGCCTTTTTACCTGCTAGGTAAGAAATTCCTGCTAGGTTCTAAGTACTTTCTTTAAGGATAGCAAAATACATGTAACTCAGATTTGAGGAAATCTTAAAATAGCAACAGAAATGGTTTCAAATACTAGGGGACTGTGGAGACTTAAGAAAATGAAATGTATGATTTTAATAGACATCAGAAACTCAAGTTTCTTAAACCCATGAGTATTCTGAATACAAATAGGATTTACTTACTTTTATGATGGTAGGTTTCCAAACCCTTAATGAAATGTTCACTTGATATAAGTCAGACGGGACCAGGGCACAATTAATAGATGCACAGCTGTATGTATCACAGTCCTGTTTAAAAGGCACCAGCAAGAATCAATAGCAAGATACTTCGTGTTACTAAAACAAAAACATGTATACTACTATATAGCATAGAAACAGAGAATGGTTTGGGTTAAAAGTGACCTTAGAGAAAATCTCATTCCAGCTCCATGCCACAGGCAGGGATACCTTCCACCAGGTTGCTCAAAGCCCCATGCAGCCTTGAACACTTCCAGGAATGGAGCATCCACAACTTCTCTGGGTACCTTGTACCAGTGCCTCAGCACCCTCACAGAAAAGAATATATACAGATCATAGACTTGCTATGACACTAGTACTAACCTGATATGAATTATATGTAAAAATTCTTATGTAAAATTTTTTATGTAAAAATGACACTGCAGTATATAATATATAAACTGAGTTGAGATATTCATGCTGCGGTAGAATACATTCAGCTATCACAGGCTTGCTTAGCCTTGAGAAAGCTTTGTTACTGTATGTACATAGGAAAAGACAACAGCTAGGTTCCTAAAGGCGGCATAGTTTATAACAGCCAGTGTTTTTCTGCTAACACACCTATGGCTTCTCTGCAGTATTTCTTGATCCTTTCAAATCATATTACACATGAATCTTTCAAGCAGGGGAGGATATGTGAGAGAAAATGTAAGTATCTTTACTTCCCAGTATCACTTGCTAGCTGGGAGGGCAGCAGAATTATGTTCAACACTTGGGAATATTTGCACAGCCTAGACTTTTATCACCACTGTAAAGGACTATGATAAGCTGGCAAAATATTCTTCTTATGGCATGGTTTCATTCACATAAGAAATTCAACTTGTACCTCTATGTTGAGGAGGTAGTATGAAGGTTTCCCTCTGACATGCCAACACAATTCTGGCAGCAAAATTACTTTGCAACTCTCCCATTTAAATGTGAAAGGCTAATCTTTTCCAGATGAGATCATTAATTATATTTCTACCAGCTGCACAGAAAATCTGTCAGATCAGAGTGCCAGCATTTGAAAATACTTTCAACTGGATATCTAAAAATATTGCAAGGGAGATGAGAAGCTTTTAAAATATTACTATTTAGTAATTACCGTGGGAATATAGAAGGTGAAGATTTACTCAACTGTCAAATGTGCTACCGTTGTTTACACATTTGCTAAATTAAAAAAAAACCAAAACCACAAAACAATTCAGTTCCACATACAGTTTTGTAGCTGAGTAAAATCTACAGCTAGTCTGCATAAAGATAGCTTTTTAGGTTATTGAGACAAAATGTTTCCATAGTATACAGTTTGAGAGAAGCTTTTATGTATTTATTGCATAAGTAATCAGCTCCAAGATCTAGGTTAGTATCTGGAATGAATATGTATACTATATGTAGTCTTACCATAATTGTATCCTTTGTAGGTTCTTTTATTTTTGGCACCACAAATGATTTCCCAGTGCTGATCCTTAAGGGATCTACAGGGTAACTAGCTTGGCAGATGGTATTCTGTCAGTAGAAATACAAATATTACTCTTATTGCCTGCATATACAATCTATTACAAAAAAATATTCTGCAAACAGGGCAACAATAATAATATTTAATAATATCAATAATATTTACAAACTGCTAAATGTAACAAAACTGCATATTGCAAGATAGTGAAATAGGAAACTCAGATGGTGTAGGTACTAAAGTATCATTATTCAAACAACAAAAGAGCTTTTTATGAGATAATTTAATTTAAACTCTACCCAGCTACCTAGACATATGTAGAAGCAAACCAGAGCTTCCTGCAAGATGACTGCTACACGAACCAGCAAGAATTAGGTATTAGGAAAGCTAAATACCTTTTGCATAGGAATCCACAGAGGTTCTGCCTTAGCAAGCAGACAGGCAGGTTAAGTGTAAGATTCAGGAGCCTCCATGGAGGCGCAGCAGGTGCTGGAGCACTGCTAGAACTCCATGGCTCCTTCAAAGGCAGCTGGAAAATCTTCTGGTGTCTTTGGAATAGGGGAATTTGTTTTCTTAGTCAGGTCATTCACTTTCAGATTGCTAGCATGAAGAGGATTGCAAACCCCTGCAGAGCACTTTGGCAAACTACTATCAATACAGCGTAAGTAGTGGTAGATGAATTATACCCACAGGAAAAGTACAGATTTGTTGAGTTTGTGTGCAAACATGGGTCAAATGTGTGATTTTGTAGCAACGAAACTAATGGGAAAGGAATTTAAGAACAGACGCAATTTTTTGTATTCTAAACATGAAATATTTTGGGGTTGAGGGATTTTTTGGTTTTAAAATGAAGCTTGAGCTTTCATTTAGATCATGTGATTTAGGTTTCAGTGGTGCAACATCTCAAAACTAAGTTAAATATTTGGAGAGAGGCACATGCATGTCTGTTTCTGAGGGGAAGATTAAAAAAACCAAACAGGTTTAGGTCATCACTTATTGTTATTTGGGTTCTTCAGCCATCCAGTTACTCATATAGCTCTGAACTGAATTTATGTGACTTGCTGGAATTGGGATCTCCTTCAGTTGCTCTGGAGGAGTGAAATGGAAAAAACTCAAATGAGGGCTGCAGTGAAGAGCATTTGAAAGACATGACCTACCATCCCCTTCAAGATGTCTCAGTGCCCCAGAGGAGGAAGAAGCCAGAGGACTGCTAGTGCTGGAGAGGAGACGTGCAAGAAGGCTAATTTCAGTAACAGAAAGAAGAGGACTAAACAGGAGATTGAGCTCTAGATGTACACAGCAGCAATAAGCACTAAGCACTGCAATAAGCACTGACTGCAGTAGAGACAATCTGAGGCTCAGTAGACAAAACTAAGAAAGAAACTCCTGTTGCTCTTATCTCAGTTTGAACCTTTAATCACTTGGCAATATATCAGATTAACCTTGTTATAGTACAGTTATTGTTCAACATCATTTTAAAATCACTTGCTTCTTTTAAATAAATTTCTGTCATACATATCTGTACATATGCTTAAAAGACCACCATCTTGTCTTTTAGACTAAAAGCTGCATCTACCTTGAAGCAAGGTATAACCACAAATGTTTGCATTATGCAATTCCTTACAAGAAAAAAATTCAAATTTAAATTAATTATAAAAATATAAATTCCTAGCTTACTTGGGAATGTGACAATGCAGTAAGGTAGAGAAGAGTGTTCTTGGCTGCAGTTACATTGGGAAATAAGATTTGCAGTGTGAGGTTTGGCATTGGAAAATGTTCACCTTTTTCAACCTATAAAAAAAAAAAAAGGTTTTGATTAGTACTTTCCTTATTTTGATGGTATTTGATTGTGATTTTTTTCCCTTTCCTGGTTTTCCTTTTCTTTTGTGATTTATTTTTATTTTTATTTTTTTATGTTCTCATAGTCAGTTTTACAAAATGTGGTGTGATGAACTCTTTTCCCTGAGAACAGCCTGTTGTGAACTAGCAAATGTATTCTTTCGTGGTCTTCGTAATAAAATGCATTATTGAAGAAAATCAAAGGAACAGGATGAAAGAGGCAATTTTGAAATAAATTTCTTCTTGTTATCTTGCTTACTGCATCCTCTTTATCATCTGGGATTTCTACCTACAGCAATTTCATTTTAATTTTTAATAAAGACCCAAAATGCTTTAAGATGGGATAGGAGTCACTGTACCAGCGAAGGCTCCTGCCAGGTACTCCTCAGGTGTGCTTATACAGCAGCCCTCCTGCTCACCTGCTCCTCTCTCCTATTTTTCCTGAGAAGATCATGCGATATATCTGTAGGCTGCTGCTCCTTTTGACCAGGCTGCTGTGGCCAAAGGTGGAGAAAACTCCTAGGTGGAATTACTGGCAGGGGTAACCAGTGATCCTGACTCTGAAGTGGACAAGCTCAGTAAAGATAAAGAACCTTTTTCTTCCGACATCATTTGTGACAAGCTGCTGGCAGCTCTAAATGTAATTGAATTCAATCCTATTTCAACTTGAGGTTGGGCTTCTAATACATTAAGTATCTTTCACAAGTGATTTTAGTTTGCAGTATTCATTCCATTGGGAAGACAACATTCTTCGAGCATGGCATTTGCCTTTTTCAAAGCTGACTGGATTTTGAAAATACCTTTTCTAAACTGCAATGTACATAGGTCAAGTTCTCATTTACCACGGCATGTTAGCTTTCTCCTGCTGAGGGTAGCAGCTCTAAACCCCACTAGAACTATTCTACAGGGATGGACCACTCTGAAAACCTCTGACTCACCTTATTCCAAAGCAAGCAAAAAGAAAAAAAAGTTGTTGAACACAAAATACCCACGTAGAAGGTTTAACATACTGCACATCTTCTATTTAAGTAACAGGCTATCACATTAAGTAATGCAAACTAATTTTTATGGTTGTAATGGTTTCTTACCCTATAATGTAGGGTAACTTCATCTCCAATCTGCTCTGTTGTGTTAATGGCAGTAGGGACAGTATCATTTGCTGCAATTATAACATGGTGCTCTTTGAAAACACTGCGGATTTAAAAAAAAAAAAACAACAAATAACACAACCAAAAAAACCCAGTAAGCACACAAACTTCATAAAAACTGCAGCACTTAATAATATAGATATTTTCATTATTTCACGAAACCCCCAGGACTACTCTCGCAATTAAGAATGCACTACTACTTCCATTGGAGCTTAACCCCCCCATTTTTTTGAATAGTATTAACTTTTTATTATGCACATTTAAATGTTGTGTTCTCATGAAATTATAAAATAAGCAAATATTGTTCCTAAGAATATACAGGGCCCAATTTTGCTGTTGTTATTCTAGCCATGCAATCCCTTATCCTGACTACTGCCACGTGAAATAGGGAGGGTCCTAAGAAAGAGAGAACCAAATTAAAAGAGAACAAAATCAGTTTCTGTATTTATCCTTATTCCCTACAGGACAAAAGAAGTCTAGATTTGCACCATGAAATGCATCCAAAATTAATCTGACTTAATTATTTACACCTGTTCACCATGCAATGTAGTCTACTGATAATATTAATAATGTTTTTCTGAGATGGAATTTAACTGCATTCTAGATATTTCTGAAAATAAAGTGTATTACAAGATGTGCATTAAAGTTTATGTTTGAGTTGATAAAAACAAGCACCTGAGAATCTAAAATTAAAGGTAATTTTTGAAGCTGGAAATCAAACACCACACCATGCAATATTATAGTGACATGAACTCATGACCATCAGGAAGATGCAAGTATTTGCTTTCTTACATACCTGAAATGCCTTTGAAAGAAGAGAGCAAAGTACAAGAATCAACAAAAGCTGCTGCTGTACTTGCAAACAGCAGATCAAATCTAAATAGATAACATGGAGATGCAGCAAGATAGGGACAGTAACTGCTCCATTATTTCATGTAACTGCTCTTTTCCATGTAGCCTGTGCTTCCTGTTCAAGAGACTAGAAGCTGTCATCTGTACATATTCAGCACAGCTCAACAACAACCCTATATTCTCTTTGAACATCTGCTATTTACTGTGCTAGTAAATAAAGCACACAGAAGCATACCTTACAAATATTAATCCTACTTCGTATTTTATAGGAATTGTTATGTGTCCTCTGTTGTCACTCAAGGTCTCAGGTGGTTCTTCACTGTCACTAAAAAAAACAACACATGCCACTGAGATCAGACTATGCATACACAAAATGACTACTGAGTCTGAAGGGATCTTAAGAAACAAATACATCTCTAGGTATAAAATCACTACTCCTCTCCAGTTAATTAGTACCTTTTAACAATAAATTCAAAATAATATTTCCAGTAACTGAAAAGTTAAATCCTGCATCAGCCCCAGCTCTTTGTTAAAATTACAGACTGCAGTTGACTGAATGAAAATGGGCCAAGGAAGGGTCACTAATCTCACACCATCCCTGGATTTTTCAGGGAAAACAAACACTGGGGGCAAGTTCATTCCTTTATCACAGACAACTTCTGCAATGCTCTTCCACTTTGAAGGCCAGATCTTTTTGTTTAGCATGAACTGTGATTCCTGCTAAAATAGGTAGTAATTTTTTAAGAGAATAAATCTTTTCTGAAGGTAAACATATTGGAAATTATGCCTTATTTGTGACTCTCAGTCTCTAGAGACAAACCACTATTTATTTACTCCATTACTCTACTGCTGGACTGAGTACTTCTGTAAAGGTTCTAACTCTACTTCTGAGCTCAGAAAAGTCATCCTTGCTTTATAATGAAATACAAAGCTGTGGAGCTTTCTAAGGAAAAAAAAAAACAACAAAACCAAACCAAAAATCAGAAGGTGAACAAGTAAGGATTGCAACTAACCTTGTTGCGTATACATGAATGGTAGCGTTTTCGAGGAGATACGATGCATTGAATTGGAACGATATTTTGAAAGAAATCTGTTTAGGGAAATACATTACACATTTTAAAAGAAGAGAGAAAAAAAAGCATACTGATATGGTTTGATCTGATGAAAAATGGGCACATTTTTGCTACTTTTATATATAGAATCTGTATTCACATTTTAAGTTTTCTATAAGGGAATCCTCAATTTTTTAGAACTAAGAAGCCTCAGTAAAACTTACTCTACAGTATATTAGAAATCCATGGCTAAATAATTCTTAACAGAAACCAACTGGTCTTACAAGCAATATATTAAAAAAAAAATATTTTTCTTTTTCCCCTTCTCTAATGAGGAAGAAACAAAAGCTTCAGCACCTGACCATGACAGTGAAGATGAGCTTCTATGGAAGGCTACTGGACTCAATTAATATACAGTTAAACACCAAGAATACCAAACAGAAATGTTCACAATGCAAATAAATGACTACTAGGTCTCACAAAAATTCCCTATTCATTATAACTAGGGCAAATCTACCACAGTTTGGCAGTATACAAAATCTGGGAACACTGTGCTAAACATGTCCTTCATATGCTGACACTTAAGGATAATTTTATATGAAGCAAAAGCTTTATTATTTGTTACTATAATGGATTTTTTTGCTCAGACTTTCATTTTTTTCTTTAATATTAACAAATCTTTCCTACAAAGTGACCCAGAGAAAGTTGTCTTACGTATTTCTTCACATTTAAAAAACAGCAAAAAGAGCTGGGAGTGTCTTTAAAAAAGAGTTTATTAGGGAAGCTTATCAGTGAATCAGATATTGATTGATTTCTGAATGCAAATAAGAATATAATATTTCTAAATTTGGGGATCTACAGCCACAGATAAACTAACCAAAAAAGCATGAAAGGAAAATGTGAAAAATCCCGTAAAGCTGTGAATGGAGCACTGTGGGCACTGGCCTTGGGTATTATGCTTATTTGGCTGCAACAAAGTTAACAGCTCACTTAATTCCTACGAGTAAGTCCAAGACACAAGCTCGAAGGTGTATGCCGAAGGCAATGTAAGAGAACAACTCTCCTGCTGTTTTGTATCTGCAACACAGATCTCATATGCCAGAGGAATAGACAAAAAACTGCCAGAAAAGACAGTTGGTCTCATTTGCATGCAATTTGGCCTTTTCCAGTTCAATACCAGAACTATTTCAGTTAGGTTTAGATGCATATTTTCAAAGGCTTAGTTTATCTAAAGCTCGCTCTCTATTCCAGCAGGAGATACAGACTTATTCCTGGAGCTGTTGACGCTGGAGCTTGACTTTAAGTGGACTGCTTGCTGGAAACACCTCTCACTCCCCACTAAACAGAGGTGAACACCTGATACCTGTCTGTGGCAGATCCAGTTTAGCATTTCCAAATACCAGCCTACTCTCTTTTCAACCAAGTAAGTTTTATATACAAAGTATATAAAGTATCTTATCAGCATATCCTAACCAATATTCTGTACACCTGGAGTGAGACCCTTCTGGCCAAATTTGATGTTTTCCTGTCTGTGCAGTTCATGTCAATGGTAGATTAGGAAACATACATGGATAGGTTTTGGAGTGAACACAAGAGAAAAGAAATTCAGCATTGATGGGGACTGCCTTGGCCTTAGAACAACACTGAGCAAGGAGAATACAGGGGGACTTTTTACCTCTTCTGCAGTTTTTAGAAATGGATATCCCACTTTACAGGTGATGTTGTGATTAGATTCACAGCTATCTTTCTGTATATCCTATAGAAAAAAAGAAGGTGAAATCATGGCGTTTTGCAGACTCTTCACTAGGCATCAAAGACCTGTTGAACATATATACCGTTGCTGCTTTTCATCATCACGTCTTAAGAGTCATAGCCTTAATTTAACTTGAATGGGAATAGGAAGCTGCAACTTCTGGAAAATAATTTCCACCTATAGAAATCTACATAAATTAGTAGCCATTATTTCCTTCCAGTGAAATTGTTAGGAACATTAACAGTTATATGCAAACTGGACACCACGCAAATTAGTCATAGGGTGTAGCAGATCAACATATGCATTATTACAGTCTTTACAAGTAATTTTGTAAATGTGTTTCTAACTTCGCAATAATAGTGACATTCTTACTCTGTAAATTACCGCAACAGGGTCAACAATGGTGCTGTGGATCCCTGACTTTTCCTAATGTGCAACTGTTGATAGAAAAACTAACTTCTCTTAATGTTTCCTACCTGCAATGAGGTGCATGTGTAACATAGCTGAGGCAGGCAGAAATGCTGTTTGAGATAGGGATGAGGAAGGCACTGCTCTGTGCTGCTTTACCAAGACAAGAGATTTTTCTGTGCATATGCAAGAATTCTAGGGGCTCAGGAGCTGTACTGACAAATAAAAAAGCATTTCTGGCTCTGCAGATGTACAGATGGTTCATGGTGCTGATGTTCATCTAAGATGCAAGCACTTACTGTCTAAGTGGCATTGTGAAACTTGTGTCTGTAGTTAACAGAGATGAGGCAAAAGTCCACTCAGGTCAAAATAAATACACTCTTTTTGAAAGATAAGCAAGGACAGCATTTTTAAAAAAAACTGATGATGCCAGAGGAGTGGAATTTGGGTGTAACAAAAAGGTTTCCTCAGATCTCTCCAGCAATATAGGTTATGATAAATGTGACATAGTGAAAAATTCATACCTCAATGCCAGCAAAAATAATATTTGGAGAATACTGAACCAAAACTCTGGTATTATAGGCACTGTCTTTTTTGTTCTTCACAGAGAGCTGGATGGTGAACTTATCATTGCGTGACTTTACAATGAATGGAGAAGAGCTGTAAAATAAAGTAAGAATGTTGGACACCTTAACTTTTTAATCTGTTTTGACATAAAGAGGAACTTCTTTCATTGTCCAGACTATACTGTTTCTGATTTGGAAATTATGTCACAGCATTATCTTATTAGACCAGAGAATATGTAATTTAGAGAGAAATTTTATACAGATATCAATGGATACAATAAACCCAGTGTAGTTACCTGTCTCCAGCTATGCTTGCTTTTACATTCAGAACAAGATCTGAAATGCATTTATTTTTGGCTCCACAATCTTTTGTGAAGGGAATCTGCAACAATAGTATTTTTATTCTCAATTTTATTATAATTATTATTAAAATTAAATACTTGCATTTTAATTCATTATCTAATTTTATATAAGGTCTTCTGTTTGACAACCAATCTTCCCTGATATTAATCAGTTAATTATGCCAATATCCTGTAAAATGCACAGATAAAATGTAAGCTTTCTACCTATTCCCTTCTAAGTGACTCATCTAGACTAGAAAAAGAGGCAATAGCAGAAGCATGAATGATGCCAAACACCATCAAAGTAAATGACTAGCCTTCCTCTGCTCTATCTACATTAAAAAAAAAAAAATAAAAGTTGCTTGTCCTCTATCTTCAGTTAACTCTGGATGCTTTAAAATCCCAGGCTGTTTCCCAAGCACACTGAATCAAGCTCTTCACCCCTGAAGACTCATTTAGAGGAAACATCTTCTGGACAAGCTCAAGGACCCTCCCTCTTTAGCCAATTTGTGGCTAATACTTTCAGATCTTGTGTGCGCTATGAATTTTACCTTAAAAACTTTGGTTATTAACACAGTCTTGCTGACTTACATATTCAGATATTGAGCTTGGCAGGTTGCTATCGAGAACAGGTCCACTCTCTGGATCAGAAAAATTGAACTCCAGCAAAACCTTTACAGAGTCCTGAAAGTCAGGCTTATCCTAGAACATAATGAAAACAAAATTGCAGTTACAGACATGCATTTTAATATCTAAGCAGGTTAAAAATCCCAAACAATGCTGAGACATAATATTTTTCACTCACACTGCTGCCGTCCTTGCTAGAGAAGCAACTGAATGCTTGCAATCGATGATAAAGCATTTAATGTGCAAGCCAATCCTTATAAATATCCATTAATACTTTTGTGTATCTCATCTCATCATAAAATATCACATAGCCTGAGCATATCCAACACAGTTGCATTTGAAAATGTCTCAGAACAACCTACTCTGAAACTTTCCTCTTTTAGTCATGCTTAAAGGATCAGTATCACCTTGTGTGAAGGTAGCAACCGCAGCAGTATCACCTTGTGTTAAGTCAACTGAGGCCTGTTGTTAGTAGATGTATTGCATATTCAAGCAAATTTTGGGCACCATTTATCGTTCATTTTCATTATGGTGCAACTGTGAAGTCACTAAACATCTTAAATGTGGGCACATGTCTATTCACTCTGCACATTACTTACAATCTAGGCAATTTCATACTCACAGTTGTTAATTACATCTCTGTTTTGCAGTGAGTAAGTATTCTCTATCCCAAACGTAATTTGCATGTTTTTCTACTATATTTCAGTAGGAGAAATTGTACCAATATGCAGATTAGACTTCCAGCTCACTTACTCCTGCTTGGTTTTGAATGCATCTAAGCTACTAACCAGGATAGCTGCTTGTTCCAATAGGTGTGTTATGCTCTTTCTTAAGATAGACACAAAGAAAGAGACAAAGGTAAATAGACTGTACATTTAAGTAAATAGCTTACATCTCTATACCTATACAAATACATAAATTCTCAAGTAGTAAACAAATTTTATGTACACTTCTTAAGATTAATTCTGGCTGCAGATTAATGGAATATTTTTGGGCTAATATAATGTCAAACACTTTAAATGATTTACTTGCCAACATGTAGAAGTTATGTTTAATACATTCTGACCCTTTGATAGTTATATTTTTTTGCATTTTCCTCTCATGGCTTTCTGTGAACAAGCTTCGAGAAATCTGTCTTTGTGAGTCAAGAGTAATCCAGTACTGCAGACCTGCAAAGGAAGTTGAGATCAATATTATGGAGCAGTTTGCCTTTACACATTCTTTTTTTCCTAACATATCTTAAATGCACTTTGAATGGTGAATTTAGAAGAGGTTGCATTCCATTTTTGCAGAAATACACAAAAGCAAGCACAGCAGTTTTATAGCATAAAGATTCCAAGCTTAGCACTTATCTACTTACTGGATTCAAATGTATATTCCTTTGACTTTAGTCTGGTCTTAAAACAAATTGTAGCATTTATGCATATTGTTTTTCTTTTATTTATCTGACAATTTTGTTGCTGAATATTGATGCTTTTGGGTGTAAATTGCATGGAAACATTTACTTCAGCCACATCACGAGACCTAAAAAAAAACCACCACAGAGAAAGTGCTTCGGAAATAACAGCAGGAACTTTTTTTTACTTTGAGAATTAACTTACAAAATATGCAACATTCAATATTAAAATACACATATTTGATGGTCTAGACAAGTAATTAACTATACGCTCTGTATATTCTGCTCTTTGCTTTTGGGTGCCAGGGTTCTAAACCAACAGAAAATTTAGCTGGCAAAATATCTATTTTCCTGTCTCCTGCATCAGGAGAGCAGTAGGTCATGCTCCTTTTGATGCAGCCCAGGATATGGTTGGCTTTTTGGGCTGTGAGTGCACATTGCTGGGTCATGTTGAATTTCTTGTCAGCCAGTACTCCCAAGTTTTTGAACCTGTGCTTGATATTGCTAATAAGATAATATGCAATACAGCATGAAAAAGAAAAAAACCTTGGGTTTTATTTCTTTTAGTTGGTGCTACAAGTGGAATCAGTTTCTATTTTGAATATGGCCTAGTAGAACAAGATCATACTAGGCTAACAAGATTTCTAAAACATTCCTGTATTTATTACTGTTATCCATTAAGTTCTATACTTTTTCCTCCAGAAACACGTGAAAAGACAAAGACTCACAGCCAGTGTCAAAACATGAGATGAAACCAGTACCCTCACAACAGTCCAAACAGTAGTGCATGCAAGTAACACAGATCTCCCAATACAAACGGTTATTTTCTGGCCTGACAGCTGCTGTGAGTATCCGTACCAGAAGAGGGCAGCCCCACCAAGGCCTCCAATAGTAACATCAATCAGTCCATCATCATTTAAATCCATTTCTCCATGCACAGACTGGCCGAAAAATTTAACTTTTTCCCCATCTCCACCTGATGCAATACGCTGTGAAAAGCATTAAGAGGTTTATGCAGTGTATATTGAGGAATTTTATAAGAACATTCAAGATGCACTTGTTGGCAGTTTGGTGACTTTTAGATTCTTAAAATATGTTACATTTTCATTATGATACTCCTAAAGCAGTTACCATGGTGATGAAAACACTGTAAATTTTAGGAATTGCCAAATATTTACTCTTCTGGCTGTACAGAACATTTCATAAGGTTTCTATTAAAAACAAGCAAATATATTTTCTAACAGAGTGAAATTCAGTTAAATCAGTGACAGTTTGGAAGTACAGAGCTTTTCAAAAACCAAGCTGTTATGACCAGTCAAGTCATAGTTTGGCAATATTTTGGGAACACATAGGGAAACGGATTTATGTTACAGCAGCTGACAATCTAAAGTTTGATTTCATACCTGCGAATATTTTTTACTGATTGTGTTGCCACTGCCATGATAAATATAAACAGCTCCCCGATGATCATCCTCTAATGGAGAACCTATTACAATGTCATTATATCCATCAAGGTTGAGATCCTTCACTGCAGCAATTGCAGTCCCGAAGCGCGCACCACAAGGCTCATTCTTGAGGACTTTGCAGGTGTCCTGTTTTAGTGGCGAACAGCATGTTTGCTTTACAGGTTCAAGACTCATCTGGTATTCAAACTTTGTCTGTGAAAGAGCAGATTTAAAGTTTGTGGTTTTCCATCAACATTTTAGCAATGCAGGTTTTTAAGAGATCCTGTCTGGAAGACAACTTGATGAATTAAATGAAACAATTACATCCTACTTCTAGTGATTGAGTGCACTATGGAAACTGTGAGTCCGTAAATATAATTCAAATATTCTTTCTGAGAAGCAGGTGGGAAAGACATTCTTGCTCTCTTTCTGCATCTAGGTGCTTCAATGTACTTCTTGAAGTTAGTGGTTTGCAGGAAAGCACAGTATCATAACCATATTTGGTCGTCATTGCAAGTAGACCACTTCATTTTAAGACAGTGTAAAGAGCTTTTCTAAAGGCATTCTCTTAATCTGAGAAGTTAGCCAAGTTTCCGATGAAACACAGATGGCAATACTGTTATTCCAGAATAAAACCCAGCATTTATCTTGTATAGACTGAATTCTGTCCTCAGTAGACGTATACTCCATGGCCTAACTTATGTATCCTTCTGGTCCCATGTGCACACTAGACTAAAACCATATAGACAGTATGCTATGTAACCGATCTTTCAAAGAGATGGGTCCCATGAGTTCCATGTTAAGAGTTCATCAGCAGCAAGCAGTTGCTGCATCTCCTTTATTTGGAGATGGATAAAAGGAAACACAGGAAAAACAAATTTCAAACCTCACATTACTGGAGGACATGGAATTCTTGTTTTCTTGCCAACCCTCTTCACCAGCAATTTGTTGTTAGCAACATGCATGTAGAAACTGGAAGAGTTCCTTGTCAAATAGATCCAGCCTCCTCATGTCATTTTCTTACAATAGCATTTTAGGAGGCCACCATTGCTAGGCCATATTTTGATAATATATATTGTTATAACAATATACAATGGCATCAATTTAAAAGAAGAAAAAAAGAAGAAAAAGTATGTATTGGAAGCAAGACTTATCAAATGAAGAAGCTGTGGTGTAGTTGACATATTCCTCAGTCTAGCTGTGACATGCTTAAAAGCTGCTGGATGTGTTTATCCCTAGGTTGGTAAGCAAGTCACAAGGATACTGGAGCACACTTTTAGGATGGATGAGCCCTACAGTTCCCTAATCTGTGAAAGCAAAAAGAAAATATGATAGAAAACTAATTCTATAAATTTCTGTCTATGCTGTATTGCCGCTTACAGGATGTCTTATCTATGTGTATATATATATATATACACACACACTATATATATGTATATAGTTACGCTGTTATATGTTATATAGTTACATATATATATGCTGTATATAGTTATATGTTACATGCTTGTCTATGTATATAGTGTGTTAGAAAAAAAAATGTGAGAAAACAAGACTTCGAGAAGGAAGTTTTCAAAATCAATCTGTGTAATGCTTTCAATTGACAAAATCGTGTGTCGCTAAATTCAGCAGCTCACCTTCCCCAGCTTAGATGATCGTATATCTTTAAAATAAGGATATGAGACAATAAGGAGCATCCTTACCTTGTTCAGACTATAAACATATACTTTCCCTTGCTCCTCTTTCTCAGTTCCCATATACATAGGAGCTCCAACAAGAAGAAGGTCTGTAAATGAGTCTCTATTGATGTCAACTGTGGTAAGAACACCCCCAAAGTATGATCCAATCTGTGAGAAAATATAAGGTATAAATCAGTCAGTAACGTCATGCACCTTGCCTTTTCAGAGACCGGTTCTACAATTGCTTACAACTGTGCCAAATGAAAACCATTCAGCAGGAATCTTCTTTGTCACTTAGAAGATCTTTTTGGTCTGTTTGCTGCTGAAGCTTGTTTTCTGTTTTAGGTTTTGTTGTCAGATTTTTTAATTTGAGAATGGCCCATTCAACTTTCAACTCTCTTTGAGTTTGGAAGGTACAAATGGTGCCTTCTATGTGCTAAGGGGAGTAGCACTTCTCCCCTCAATGGGAAAATTTCCAAGAGCCTTTGACTACTATATAGTCCACTTTCCATTATTTATTATACCAGAGTATCTACCTAACCTTTCCTTCTAATCTTGCTTACAACTCACAGTTTCAAATACTCTCCTGGTGAGGAGTTCTCATTTGAAATCATAGTATCTACTTCTCATGCCATATTCCACTGGTAGTTAATCATGAATACATACTTACCTGTTCTCCATTTAACCTCTGAAGTACTTGTACCTCTCTTCCTTCCATTTTATAAATGATAACTTGGCCAGTGTGATTGTATCGTGGCTGTCCTGCTATGTACAGCACGCCTCCAGGTGTCAGTGCTGAATTCACAGTATATCCTAGGAAGCAGAATTTAAGATGCAGTACACACAAAATGCATATGCATATTAGAAATAACTTCTGATTAATAATTTAAGGGTTATTGTACAACTAGATGTTTAACCCTAAATATTCTAGAGAGTAATAGCAGAGTTTGTCAAAGGGGCTGGATATGCATTTGCCTACAGTCTCAGTCATGAGCACAACTGTTACTGAACCTGTTTGCAGGCTCGGTGAGTCACGTTCATTTTGCCATCCGCACACAGTGTAAGGAATATAATGGTACTGATAAATAACTCGTGAGTAGCTGATTGACAAGCTACTTTCAAAGAACAGCTGACATCATTTCACTGTCAAACTAATAGTGTTATCTAGATGTGATTCTGAGGACATTTTGAACCTAGCTCTGTTTAATATTAACAACAATTTATCAACTTGGGTGAAGAAAGACTTAAAAAAATTGTGTATCAATCAAAGTGGTGTCAGGGTTGCAAGTATTATAGAGGACAGGATCTAAATTTAAAACTACTTTACTGAATTTGAGATATGAAAAACCCCTCTAATCACATTCTGCAAAGAAGAAAAATAGAGTGCTTGGGGAAAAAAAAAAAATAAATTATTCTAGTGTTGTCTCTTCATCAGCAAAAATGTGAACTAAAGGAGATAGCAGAGTGAACAGAACTGTGAGGTGTAGAAAGCAAGCCCTACAGGAGAGAACAGGGCCACCAGTGCTTTTTTGTAGAAAAGGCTGAGAGGAAAACAAAAGATTGCCAATTGTTAAAAAAAACCATAGTGGTAAATGGTTGTTCTTATCCATTGAGTGACAGAAATTAGCTTAATTTTAAACAAAGATTTAGACTTATTATTGTACACATTTTTTAAAATATCAAGGCATAGAAAAATTTTATAAGAATACTAGACTAATCTGTGAAATCTCTGAACAGATTAGACATGTTTATTAGGGAAAATATAGATATACATAGGTACGTAAGTGTTTGGACTACTTTTTTATTGCAGAAGGAGCAATTTTTTTTTTTTTAAGAACAAGAAAATCATACAGTAGACATGTTTATACATTAGAAATCTTCCCAGACTCCTAGAATCTAAGATATTATTCTGTAAGACACTCTTTCTGAATGAGATTTGGGACAGATCTTGTAGCATTTGTTGAAAAGTGTTATAAGATGGGCTATTTCTCTCACCTAGATAGGCTGCAAGGGGTTCATTTTTTTCTGAATGCCTGTCACGAAAAGTGCCATTAGTTGGCATTGAAATATCACTGTCCTTCACCATGATCACTGTGCCATTCCAGTCATATGCTCCAACTGCTCCAAGCATGATCCAATCCTTATGCAGAGAAAAACAAAAAGCTGTGTGACCTGTCTTTAAGACATTCGATGATCATGATGCTTACATTTGGGTAATGCTTCTTGTATACTCGCTTATTTTGCCCTGTTTTTTCTATTATAGTATGGCTACTACAATCATAGTATATCTTGTACTTTTTGTTAAAAATGCACCCAACTTAAAAGGGTCATTCAGGACATTCAGGAAAAGCAGCAGAAAGAAATGCAGCTCAACTTCATCCCACCATTCCAGGACAAACAGAAAGGCAAAGGGATTTAAAAAGGTAACGAGAGAATACGTTTCCCAAACAAACTTTCAAACTTGAACTCTGTTGAATCTCTGAGTCTTGTATATTATGCAGGAGCCTTTTGCCCATGAGAAATGGTTTGCTGGCCTTTCTTGCCTAAAGGCATGAATGTAACCTTCCAGATAAGACAAACTTCACTGACCTCATGTCTGTCAAGACACCAAGGACTGAAGAGAGGTTCTGAAGTGAGCTTCTGATGACAGCAGGTCATTTGTTTGTGAACTTTAAGAATATGCTCTACCAAACAGATAATCTTATAAATAATCCTCATACTCCCTAACAGGATAATACCTGTTTTTAAGGTATGATACACCATCTGGAACATTATGTGTAATGTAGTGCAGAGAGTAAAAATTAACAGAGAGTACTTCTGCAATAATGTATCTATATTAAATCACACCAAGGTATTTTATTCTTTCTTTTTCCCAGTGATATGTTGAGCTCTATACAAAGCCATATTGAATATATATGTGAATTTATCTCAGATTTCTTAGCATTTATTCAGTTCCATTCAGTTATTCTCCTTCTGTGCTCCTTTCCACTATCAGTGCATTTTTGTGTCTTTAAAGCTTAACTCTTCCTGTTCTTTTCACCTCATGTTAAATTTTAATTTCATGCATGTACACTGAGTAGATCATCAGTATCAATGGATACTTTTTGATTTTCAAGAATAAATAAAATACTTGGGAAGTGATTTGCTGCTAATACAAATTCCAAAGTTTTTTTGCATCCCAGTTTAATAAATATTTACCCCCTAAGAAATGAGGTAAACAGCAAACAGGACTGTAAAAAGAATTCTGAAACACTCATCCAAATTCATGCCATCACCAACAAAATCTACTTTGTAAAAGAACTTGTATTTTCAAACAGTTTATTTACCTGAGAGTAATGAGCACTGAAACCAGCCTGAGACATCTCCATTTCAAAAGAGGAGGCTTGCTGGTCTGTTGTTGCTATAAAACAGAAAAAAAAAAGGTTCAAAAATAAATTCATTTCAATCTGAAAAAGTATCTGAATAGTGTAATAAATACGCTTATATGGTAGTAAAGGATAGCATAATTAACCAGAATATTTGGTGAACATATTTTGCCATAAATTCTTATAACGAATACAAAAATTAAGATGCGTTAACTGCTACCATTAAGTACAAAGGTTTCCATTTCAAGATCATGTCTCAGAACTAGTCCAACAAATATTTCTAAGTTAAAACCGAACACATTTGACCTCAGGCTGATGGCAAATATATTTGGAATGTTTGATTAATATGGTTAAGCCTTTTTCCACTTGAGCTAAGTGAACAATAAAACAACAGCCATGTAGGCCTGGCCTTGTATTCAAGCAACCAAAAATTTGTAGGCAGCTGGAGAAACTTTAAATGAAAAACACTTGATGTTTGTATGAACTTTCACAAAAATAACATAGGAAAATCTCAGCTGTTCCAGATTCATAAGGCTCAGGAAATGGCTTGGGAACTATAATCCTGAACAGAAAGTTATATGAAAATCTTCCTGATTGTCTTGATGACTTTGAATAAAAAGGTTATCAGCTGATTTAGTACCAGTTTGTGTCTTGTCAGCTACTCATATGTTAGTTATTAAACTCTGATGGGCTGCTTTGCTCCCAGGTACACTGAAGTATCATCAGGAAAGAGAGAGGTCTGCCCCTTCTTCTACTTAAAGCAGTACTCAAGAACGCTATATTGCCACTTTAAGTGGCCAAGTAAGGTAACTCTATTCTTCATACCGATTCCTTCTTGAGAGCAAGATGTGGCAACAGGCTGTATGCTACAGGAAGAGTTCATAATTTGCTACCAGCTAAGGGCTGAGACAAACCTCCAATTGTGTGAATGAAAACTGAGGCATAGGGAGCCATGGCTGCATGAATTTCAGGCATCTGAACTATTAAATAACACTGAACTTTTGATAGCAACTAAACCACAGAGGTTGCTTCCTGGGACACAATGTCTTTGCTAATTGCTTCGATTTATAGCCAGTCATAGGAAGGAGACATGATCTCAGACACAAAATGTTTTACACACAAATATGGCCATCATGTTTCACAAGACGTAGCTGCTTTGCAAGGTCTGAAAAAGGCCCTTTTAACCATAAACCTCTTAAGTTTCACATTTGCTAATAAGCAATATTTTCATACAGTAAAGGATGTTCCTTGGTGAGCTGAGAAAGATAGGACTCACAGTCCAAGGCAGAGGACAATGCCAGTACTGTTGGTGTGTGCAGCTTTGAATGCTGCTTAGATAGTGGTCCTCAGTCTAACTTTCCATTGAGTTTCAAACTGCCAAGCATCCTACAAAGGATATTTTGTGTAAAAACATTTGTGCCTGCCTATGGGTTGGTTAAAACATAAAATGCTGTTAAATCCAGAAGTCCATGCCATGAAACACAGAGGCATATTGAAAAGCTTATATGTAAAAATTCACTGGCTGTCAAGTATGGGTTTTCGTTGGATTTCATTTTTCCATTCTTTCTAGGTTTTACTTTGCAATTTTTAAAAGGCCAAAACCAAAAAGAAAACATGAAATCCAAGAAAAAAAATCCAAATGTACTACTATACTAGTACGAGGCTATTTAGATTGAGACTTTAAACAGACTTAGACACAGAATTTAAAAAAATCAAGGTTCCTGTGATCACCATGTTATGCACATAAGTTAATTCAGCTACAGTGTATGGGGTTTAACTAATCTTTTCCACATGGCACACATTCAATAAATTGGATTGTCGCCAGAAGCTGGGTGTAACAGAACTAATCTGCTTTTTCCCCCTGCCACAAAAATACATCCATGGACACAGTCTAGAATAGCAGATCTAGAATAGCTCCTGCAATGCTTTGTGAGGGGACAGGAAACCATGCCAGAAACTGACTTAGCATCTCAACCTTGGAAATTGAGATGGAGTAATCAAGGAGCAACTTGAGTAGCACAAACTTGCTATGGTTTGACAAAAAGCTAAGATTCCATTTTCAATTTCTATTCTGATTCCCTTGCAGCCAGATTACGTGATTTCTAGGACTTTTACAGGTGGAGGAGGCAACATTTCTTGTCTTACATCACAGGTGTCTTTATACAGAAATCTTAGCACATCTCTGAGTTCCTACTGAAAATCTGGAAATCAAGAAGCCTTTTGGGAGTGGTGAAATTCCCTAGCTTGTCTCTTACAGTGTGGATAGCAATAATTTTCCAAATTTTTCATTTCAAATATACAATTTTTGTAACACAAACAAGTCTGTATTAAATAAAAATTGAAAATAAGTAAAATATATAAAGATGCAAATATCCAAACAGTTTATAGTAGGCTTACGTTAAAAAATCAGAATATCCAAGAAGTACATATTTATTACTGCATCTTTTGCAGAAAATGAAAGATGAATTCAAAGAGTACGGCAAAACTGGTTGATACTTGAAGAGGTACAATATGCTTAAAGGACCAAAACACTGAAGGACATGATGATAAAGATTAGTCATCTCAAGAGTGGACTGTCATACAAACAGATAACATTCATACAATTTAAACATTTAAACAATTTAATGTTTGTTTTGCCACCATCAACATAACTGCATTTGTTTGTATATTTTATTAAGCTTCAGAACTTCTTTAATATTAAATGTTTGTAATTTTTTCATATGATTAGAGGAATCAATGACTAAAGTCAATGGAATGATTAGAGGTCATGATATAAAGCATTCCCCTCCACCAGGGATTTCAAGCCAGCACAACTTACTCCACTATTTGGAGGCTAGGTTTTTTTGTGACAGGCAGGCTCTACCTAATGGCTACTGATTGCTAAAAGGGACAAGGTGGATTCTGACAAAGTAAGACCATCTCTTCCACTGGCATCCAGGTGTTGAGAGGGTTGAGCTATGGCATGAAACCTCGACTTTGAGCATATAGATGTCCATAAACTGCCATGCTAGGTTTTACATACTTCCTCAGCTGTCATGACTAGCAGTTGATTAACTTTCTATTCTATATCCTTTATATTTAATAGGTGTAACTAACATTTTATTTTACTAATGAAAGACAATGATTTTTTTTTTTCACTTTTCTGGAAGTACAAAGCACAAATTGAAGATGAAGTTTTCAATTTCTGTTTGAACATCTGTTTCTCCACTGGAACTAAACAAAGACTTAACAGAAAAGTCCCCTAGTCAATGAACTTTGAAGTACTCCGTGAGTTTACTAAATTCTCCTCAAATTAATTTATTTCACAACTGAGGAAACAAAACCTTCCAGAGAGAAAAAGATAAAAACATATCAACTGGAAGAAATATCTAGTACTAATCTGCTGAAAATAGTAATAGTTGACCAAGCTAAATGATACCCTAAAAAAATAACTAAACATGTCTGATATAGCTCCAATAAAAATGAAAAACAAAACACTTCAAAATACTCTCTCGTATTTGTACTACATCTTGAAATTCAAGCCAACATTATTTTTTATTCCAGCTGTAAACTACACTATTCCAGTTACTTGGAGAGTTGAGATGTTGAAAAAAAAAAGTCCAAATTGATGGGTGTCTTCTTTGCATGCCATGAATCCTTTCAGAGATAGCCGAAAGAGCTCTTGAACCAAACAGAGATTTGGAAAGCATTGCTTAATTTGAATGGAGAATGTAAGCAGACATTATGAGAGAATGACTTTGCTGTGCTAAAATCTGAGTGTCATGAATATTTCCAAAAGAAAAATACATCTTATCAACTATATACACCAAGTCCATATTAGCTTATATGGCAAAGTAATATCCTGTAACTAGCAACTAACCAAAAAGACAACCTGAAAGTATAGGCAGATGAACATATAATCAGGATATCGTCTGGCAATGTTTTTTTATCTAAGGTATGGGAACTGCATGTTTACCCCAGCAAAACCAGCGATGCTCAGTTACCCTTTTAAGCTATTGTCTCCACAGGCTTTAACCCATCTGAATATATTTTACATCATTATCTATGGTTTTGATGTTAATTGTAAAATATTCTTATGATCAGCATGAAAAAATTACTGCACAACACATTTTATACAGCACAATACATTGCAAAGGCAGATAAAAGCAGATGGTCTTCTATTTGTTTCAGTTATAATGCTGCCATGAAGTAAAATTCTAAATAAGAGCATACCTTCTAGGGCAAATATTCTCTCTCCAAGTGCTTCAACAATAGTTACAAGAGCTAATTCATCTGAAACATTGAAGAAATGCTTTTCTGTAGGCTTACTGGCAATTGACTTTATTTCCTCTACAAATTTCTCAGTACTTAAATTTCCTCTGCTGTAGCTGCCCAGAATCTAAAGAGAATTAAAAATAAAAAAAGTAGTCAAGGAAACATTTTATAACCTGTTTTAACCTCTTTTAAAAAATAGATACCTTTGAGGCAGGTTGTCAGGTAATATTGGGAAATCATATCTAATCTTAATTTGCTCTGTTAAAACCTCCCTTAAATTGATTTCAAATCATTCTTTCGCAATAAGAACACAACTGTATGAGGCTCAGCTGTTTTTCTGAAAATACAATCAATAGCAAACAAAGCAACTGTGTAACATCTGCAATTTTCAACTGTCCTTTTTTCCCTTCTTCACAAAATTCGAATGATTTATTTTACAATTCTATGATTTGTTGAAGCAGGCTTTAATTTAGGAAAAAAACAACACAACAATCCCCAAAACAAAACACAACTGCACTCACTTCTGTATAAATACCACCAGTTCTCCTCACAACTTGGTATATAAGCAACTAATGACAAGTTAATAAGGTACAGAATAATTCTTTGTCGGTGTGCATATTTTTCTTATGAATCCTACATAACAGTTGAGTTCAGTATGAATAACACCATCACACTACAAGACTTTACATCTGATTTTCAGTTTTAACACCACTGCTGCAAAAATTCAGGATGCCTCAGAACAAAATGACTCACTTCTTCAATTCCAAGACCAAGAAGTACTGGTAAGAGGAAAAAGTGCTCTATACACTTAAGTTACCTAGAGGAAAGAAAGAAAAATCCCTCCCATGTTTGGAGCTGGACCGCTGTCCAACTGGACACTAGAGTAATTCAAATTCAGTTCTAAACAGGGCTTTTATTGCTAAAGATTACTCCAGTTTCAAGGAAAATTTTATTTAAAGATATCTAGCTTTAGGAAGGAAATAACTGAAAATCTGTATGCCGCTGGATTCAACTTTTTATTTATGTCTTTCCTTAAATTTAAGACAGTATCTTCTTGAAGTTGCATGGTTCCACACCATTTCATTGTATCAAAGCAATGAAAGACAGGAACAGAGAAGCAACAATCCCAAACATCTTCAAAACTCATGAGAGAAAACAGATTGAGAATAGAATACTCAAATACAGCATGAAGGGTATGTTGGGTTTACACCAAATCATAGAATCGTAGAATAGTCTGATTTGGAAAGGACCTTAAGGTCATCCAATTCCAACCCCCCTGTCATGGGCCAGGATGCCTCACACTAAACCACGTCACCCAAGACTCCGTCTAACCTGGCCTTGAACACTGCCAGGGATGGAGCATTTATCACTTCTTTGGGCAACCCATTCCAGTGCCTCACCACCCTCACAGTAAAGAACTTCTTCATTATATCTAACCTGAGCTTCCCCTGTTTAAGATTCAACCCATTACCCCTTGTCATATCACTTCAATCCCTGATGAAAAGTCATTCTCCAGGACCCTTGTAGGCCCCTTCAGATATCTGAAGGCTGCTATGAGATCTCCATGCAGCCTTCTCTTCTCCAGGCTAAACAGCTTTGACATGTTCCTCTCATTCAGCTACTAAGTTTGCTCAACATGGAAATGACAACTTCAGAATGCCAGCACACAGGACAGCTGTAATAAACCTAGTTTTTGTTTATGGTTTACATTTGCCTTTTTTCTTTTAAAGTAAGTAAAGCATTCATAGAAATTGCTCAGAAGATTTGAACATTCTGTTCAGTATTGCTCTTAACAAAAAAGATTTGATTTTATAGTGCCCCTCAAACTCTTTCTGCATTTCTTCACACACATACAGACCTGTCATCACCAGGAAGACAGATAGATTGCTTTTTCTTATGTGCTATAAAATCAGAAAGCAAATTTTTAATGTCTTTTTTCTTTTTTTCAGCCTCTTTCTTTTCTTCCTCTCTGAAATGATTGTATTTCCATAAAGATGCTATGAAATGAACTTTTCAAACAGAAATTATATTTGGAAGATGAAACATACTTTTAAGATTCTGCATTTTCCCATTAAATTTCACTTACAGCAATAGCAAATCTCTGAATGTTTTCATCTTCACAATCATCAATCACTTCTTTTAATCTGTAGTTGTCGTGTGATTCCCCATCAGTCACAATTACCATTACTTTTTGTACTCCTCTTCTTGCGCCGTGAGCCTCAGTAAAAGCCTCTTTTCTAAAGGGAGCATAAAGCGTTTGGGGAAAGGCAATGTCAGCATTTAGCACATGCATCATATTCGCATAGTCAACCATTAACTAAAGCACTCTGTATTGATTAAGGAGCAGGAAAAGGAGATTAATGTTAACCATGAACAAATACAAACAGTTGGAACTTAGAGGACAGTTCACAGCCAAAGAGTTTCCCAATCATTCATTCATTATTCATTTATTTGAGAGTGGAAAATACAGTGTGGAACTGAAAAATGCTTCCCTCCTCCAAAAAATTTCTGGCATCTTAAACCAGCTTTTGGTAGCTTAAAAAAAGACTCAACGAAGATCCCCATCCTAAAACCCACATACCCCCTCACGCCAGACCTATTTCCACCCTATAGCAGCACTTCAGGTGGTCAAAGTATTTACTCAGCTACCAGCACACCTCTTCATATTTACAATAAAACTCATTGTTTGTGGAAGTAGGTTGCAGGTGAGCATTGGCAGGTTGGGATGACTGGCTGAATTCTACGGCTGCAGATGAGCAGACACTGAAGTTTTGGGCAGCTGCTGAGTCCCCAGGCTCTGCAAGGGACCCAAAAAGGCAAGGGTGGATTAGGGCTCTGGAAGAGAAGGAAGGAAGCAGGTCTTCATCTCTTTAGTAAACTACCACAGAACCCTCAGCCTGGCCACATGAGTGAAAGCTGAGATGTCCCACTGAAGATAGCCAAAAGTGGATGCATAGAGAGATGGCAAGAACAGAGGAAGCTTTTCCTGATAGTTCCTGTATATATAAGTGTGCAGCAGTTTGTGGTGCACAGGAACTTTCTGAACCACATGTGGTTTCTGGGTATTTGGCAATTCTCAAGTGGCTCTGTTTTCAGAAACTTTTTCAGACTCCCTCAAGCTTCTACTTGTTTCTAAGGAAATTGTTACGGGTGAATATGTAAGAATTTCACTGGATTTCAGACATCATCTCAACAAAACTTTACTGAGATAATCAGATAATCAAATAGTTTATCAAAAAGGTGCTGCATATTTCACTAAATGGTTGTTTAGAAAGGGCTAATGCAATCTTTTACAGAAGTAAAGCTGTGGTGCCAGAAAAAGCAGTAGAAAACAAAAAAGACACAACACTGTACAGTTTGAAAGTGTTAGAGATTTTGCATTTACTGTCTGTTTTACAAAATTCAGCCTTAATTTTTCTCATAAGGGAAGCATTTCTAAATAATGCTAATGTTACAACAGATCTTCAAACTACCAGTGATCCAGAAGCTTCAAAGACTTCAGATATAAAATTTATTGGCTTTCTGAAAAGTGCTCAAAGCCTGTACTAATCTTAACTTCAGTATGAAGACAATTCAACATTAAAAAGTTTTATTTTTTTGCATTTTCTCTGAAAACTTTATTTCCTTCATCCTTCTACACATATAGTTCCTACCTGTTCTGTGTGGACATCAAAGATTGTCAGCTCTTTGCTTAGGACTACAACCTTGCTCCATGTCTCTTTTCTTTCTCTATTTCCTCCATTCAGAAAACAGCTGCCCTTCCAGGGTGCCTTATACAACTGCTTTAGTTGCCAGACAGGGTCTGTTTATCCACCCTCCTCTTAAATTTTGTTTGCTCAGCTAAAATGAAGTCAGATGTCAGCCACATCATATTTTTAATTCATAAAATCAGAATTGTCACCATATCTACTTATGTTTGCTTCTGTCATATGCAGGACAACATTTTGTAAGCATACCTTGCTGTATCTATCCCCAGGGCTGTCATAGTTTGTGTACCACCTCGCTGACGTATTCTTGTGGCTGCAGCCATCACATCTTCTGTTGACGAGTATGTATTCAGGAAAAATTCATGGACTACAGTCTGTCCGTACTGAACAACTCCAACCTGAAACACACAGTCCATTATTAAAAATCAACTACTCTTAGAGAAAACATCTATATCTCCTGCACTGGGGTATGTTCCTCTGTACCTACAAAAGAATTTAAATCTGTATGTTTTCCTCAGTATGAAACACCTATAAGCGTTTGATAAAGTCTGGCTTGAAAACTGAATCTCATGGAACATTTTGAAGTCTCTAAATTGTTTTATTAAACACAGGAGCAAAGCCAAAAGCAGGCCCACCTCCTTGCTTTTCCTGATTTAAGTAATCCATGCTGCAGCTCTGCTCAACTCTAAGCCAAGGCAGACCAATACCCTAACCACCAGCCACAACTTCTCAAAATAGTTTTCCTTATATCATACAGGGCCATGGTTCACTCACAACTCTCTTCATTTCCTCCAAATATACTATTCCTATAGCTGATAGTTTATTTACCATAAACCTAGCCTAGAAATAGCACTGCAATGACAAATTCAGGCCCTAGGGTGAGAGGAAGATTCAAGTACCCTTCTCTTGATGAAGATATCAGGTCAGTCTAAGACATGGTGTTCTCCCAGCAGGAGGAGAGCCAAAGTAAGACAAGTGCCAGAGGGGAAAAATGAATAAAATGGTGGTTTTTGGAATGGGGCAGGATGATGTAAAGACTTTAGATGACCTCAGCAAGACAAATCTTTGTGAAAAATATCAGTGCATGGGATTGAAACCCAACCACAGATGCCTGAGGGGACCTGCTGCAAAAGCATGTGTGAAATAAAAAGACAAGCAATATTCTTAAATATTAATTAATTTCTCTCATTCATCTCTGTCGCTTTTAATGTTTTGGCAGGTTGCTGACAGCTTTTACTGGGAAGAATCCACACAATGTTCCATTAGCATATTTCAATTTTATGTTACACATGGCAATTTATAGGTGTTATTTAGGATAATGCAGTATTATGTGGCATTTATATCTCATTCATCTATTATTAAAAGCACTCTAGCATTTAGCTGCTAGAGATCAATACGACCTCTGGGATGTTTATGCTATTACATTATTTTAGAAGTGACTTTGCAATTGCTTTATTGGTGTTTTTTTCAGTTACTTTCTTAGCCCCTCAGATTCTGCACAATGTTTTTTTACTTGCAGTAGAAGGGTTAGAGTTGGATAAATATTTGATACTAAACATCAATATCACAATCATTATGAAGAGCTAGTTACATAAGAATGTGGAACTATAATCACAATGGTATGTGGCAGCAAAATCTATCCCACTCAATTTCTGTACCCTTTTGAAAATACAATCAAATCTGCAAGAACAGATTTAAGTTGAAAGCTATGACAAGTTGCTCCCTTTAAGGTATTTCAGTTCTCTCTTGAAGGCATGCCCTCTTCCACCTGCAGCTGAGAACATCCAGATACTTCATGCTCTCGTGGGCAGCAGCCTATTAAACCTGCACAATGTTTACACAACAGGCTGGGGCACATGCTGTTATTACCACTCAGAGCAGTCATGTGGCACTGACTAAACCCCAAGCTGAAGATGACATTTTTAACTCGTTCCCTCCAAGGCAACAATTCTATGGCATGCATCAAAAGTGAATTACAGCATAACCTGAACAGGATGTTGCTAATCATTTTAAAAGACTGACATTAACTGGTGTAAACAAGGGATTTTCATTATTTTTGACTTTTTGGTGCAGGAGTAGTGCCTTAGTATTCCAGGACCACGCACAAGTGTGGCCAGAAACTATTGTATGCCAGGGAGTCCAGTGCTGTGGATTCCTGGGCTCCTTATCTACAGCTAAGAGGATTTTATTGGTATCAAGGATTAAATCAACTATTAACTGATATCAGTGTGAAAAGTACCTGCCAGTCTTTCATGATTCTAGAGACCCATGTTTAGTGTGAGGTGTCCCTGCCCATGGCAGGGGGTTGGAACTAGATGATCTTAAGGTCCTTTCCAACCCTAATTATTCTATGATTCTATGTTGGTGTTGTCTTTATCTTAAAAAAGGATTACAGGCTGACATTGAGTTGTATCATTTCCTATTTGAAAGGAAACATTGTCCATGATCACAGTAAGTAAACATTTTGAGCATTTCCTTCTCAGGAAGTGAATGGGAAGAACATCTGGGTCTGCATGTGTTGCATAGCTTGTAAATCAGGAAGGAAGGGGGGCATGTGGTTATCTTATGGGATACAATTGTTGTTCTGAGGGACCCTTCCTTAGCACTAGTTTTGAAAACACTGCTCATCATGTTCTACATATTTCATGGCATCAAAGATGAGCCATTCCTCAAAAACGGTAATGAAAAACTTCCCAGAACTGAGAAAATACTACTAGGCAGCATGTTCCAGTCTCCTACAGAATCACAGAATCAAGTCCACCTTGTGAAATTAGAACTATGTTCTATCAGATAGCAATGAAATTTTAAGCTTTTGCAACCTTTTAATCTAATGGAAAACTATAAATGACACATCTACATGATGCAAATGTGCTTTTGTGGGACAATAAACCTCTTCACACTATGTAACTTCAGCAAGCCCCTAAGAATGATGCTTACAGGCTTTATATGTTTTGATTCGCTTGTTTATATTAAACCTCGAAAATGCAATAGTACTATACAGAAGGACATAATTCTGTTCTGCTCCAGAAAACCTACTATTTTTCCCAGCATTACTGACCATAATCTACTGAACATCTTTGTAATGCCTAAACTAATGTTCCCTTCCCTAGCATTCCATGGCTTTTATATTACACAAGGGAATAATTCTTTAATTGTCCCCAGTTCCTGTGAAAAAGTGTTGTACAAGAGAACAGGCAAGTGAAGGGCTGTTCTACTTTGGACAAAACATTTCTGAGGGCAATTATTTATTCTTGTTCTATAAGTGAATACCGCCCCTTATTTGGAAAGTACATTCTGGCCTTCTCAATAAATTACTAAGCTGATCTATTTGGTAAAAAACAACATCGCCACACACACACAAAAAAAAAAAGGAAAGGAAAACCATTTAGTATATGGAAATGATATGCTAGGATTTTTACCACTGGGATGTGGAGGAAAATAAGAAATATTTTTGGCTGTATTTAAGAAAAAAGAAAAGCATAGATGCCTTGGGAAGTACTGGTGGATAATGCATTTTATCATACAGAGAACGTGCTAAAGATACCTGAGTCTAAGCAAAACTGAATTAATTCTGCTACATTTTGCTCCCTTGCAAGAACTCAGACAGAAATCACTTATAAACTATTGCAAACATCTTTCTTAACCCCAAATCTTTTTAATACCTTTTCAATACTCTTCTTCTGAAGACAAAACTGATCATGAGATATGACATGGCATGACTTATTCATCCACTCATACAGTCCCTTTGGAGATAAACTAAGGTACAGACCAAACACTGCCTATGTCCTACATTAATGGAAAAATAAAACCTGTCTGAAAATTTCTGAAGGCCATTCCAACATAGCTTTAAAGCTGGAACTGAACATATCTGGAAGCATTCTCCTCTTTTGATATTCTCCTACCACAGAATGTTGTTCATATGTAGAGAATTAGAAACCATACTCTCGTATTAAAGACAATTACCTCTACAAATGTTAAAAAAAAAGAAGAAAAAAACAATCTTCTATGCAGCTACATTAAAATGCGGAATAAGGCCAGCAGAAATATTTTGCTCCCACTTATACTTCCCCCCCCCCCCATTTAACTCCTTCTTCCATTTCTACTTTTCTGTCATCACTTTCCCTTTACTTCTTTAATTCTTAAGCTCAGGGTATGCAGCTTAACTACGAGTATGGTGTTGGAATTTTCTGAAGAACAGAAAGAGGAAGGGAAGGATATACTTCTGAAAAAAATATACCATAAACTTTGGTTGGTTGCATCTGAATCTCCTGGCTTTCACTTTCAAATTTGTCAAACATGGGACATGAGAAATTTCAGTCCTGACTTATCACAAATCTAATGACCATTGTTCATGGAAGGGGTAAGTGGGAAAAAAAATATCTTACAAGCCTGTAATCAAAACATGGTTTTAAACAAGTCACACCCAAGCTGCTAAGGAGTTATTCTGTAATAATCTCATTCCTTTCCCGTGCAACAGGAAAACAATCTGAAGTCAGTGAAAATCCACTGATTCCTACGTGCTCAACAATCCTCAAAAGAGGAACATGGAAAAATCAATTTAAACAGACAGAAAGAAAACAGCATTTCCTATATTTCTTTTCTGTGCTTCCAGAGGAGAGGGGAGAAATATGCCTGTTCTGTCCTTTCTCCACTTCCCCATTCAACAGTCACTTAAACACAGTGTCTGAAAAGGAGACAGTGTGGGTGGAGGAGACAGTAGAAACTCATTACTACCTTGGGCTGTGCCAGCGTTCCCAAACAAAGGGCTTGGAGGAGAGGAGAGCAATGGGATGCGTTCTAAGAAAATGGGGAAGGAAAGAGGAACCAAGAAAATTCCACCTAGTTTTGCCTTCCATTTCCAGTTTTTCAGCCTCTCTCCACCTTATCCCATTCTTATCTCCCTCTCAAGCGTTTCTGCTCTGCAGCAATCAGATGCCAAAGCTGACATTCTCAAATGAATAAGTGTACGTGTGAGAAGAGGGGCAGCTATGCCAAGCTGCGGGTAGAATAGATTTTGTAGGTGGAGATGGGACGCTGCTGGAGTGCAGGCCAGCAAGGGACCTTTTGTGCACAAACTGAGACTCACACATGAGGCAGGATTCCAAAACCAAACATAACAGAGGTGTGACAATGTAAAAATTTAGGAATTGCAGGGTGAGAAAGAGGGGTTAGGGTGTAGTACAGCTGATTGCCCTGTGTACTATTCCCAAGAAGCCCTGTGGGTAGAAAGCAGTGATGATTTCCATGCAGCCATTGCTCTGTACTGGGAAGTTCAGGTTTAAGTATTTTCCCAAGATGGCACATGTTTGAGTAATGATCGGCTTGAGGGACCAGGAAGAAATTTTTTTTTCCTTTCTACTAAATTTGACCAAGTATTTTTGCTTCTGGAAGCAGTATCTGGAAGAACAGCATGTTTAAAATAACAGGACATGATTGTAAAGTGGACACTTTATAAAAAAATTTTATCAGCCACTGTTCAGTACAGCCAACAGGGGAGCTGGGTAGTTAACTAACAAATCCCAATTGACTTGGAAAATGACAGGAATACTCTCTGCAGACAAATGCATCCTTTACATCTTCTCACAGTCTCCTTTGTGAATGCAGTAACTGAATGTGAGGAACTTGAAGCAGCAAACCCTCCAAGTATTGGCCTGCAGCATATCAAATACTATACAGGATCCCATAAAATCCTTGATTTTGAGAGGGGAAAAAGGGAAAAGTGAAAGGAAGACCTGGCTCCTTCTGATGCTGTTATTACAGCTTTCGGTGTTAAAATGTATCCCAGCGTCCACGTTTCCTCCTTACCTGAGTTCTGCTGATATTGCTATTTAGGTACTCTGTTTAGCAGACTGTGAAACATATCCAGATCCTTGGCTGGGGTAATTGATTGTAGCTCCGTTAATTCTGGTGGAACTATGCTGATTTATAGCAGCTGGGAATTTGGCCCTCTCCACTTACTACATAAATGCAGCTTCTGCCATTAATAATGTGGTTTAACAGCCACTCGTTAATTACGATTTCAAATGTTTAAAAGGTATATGCTCAATGTTACACAGTACAAAATATTGAATCCAAAAAGCTTACAATCAAAGGCTGTCTGAACCACGCATGTGTGCCTCAGAGGAGCAGAAATGACTTTTGAGCTGTGAAGTACAAAAGGAGACAAGAAGTGGTTGTGGAGAGGAAGGAAGTGGGAAAGGACAGCATTCTAATAGCCTCACTTAACGTACTTAACTTCTGTCTTTAGGTTAGACAGTCTGCTTCTCCAGATTGCTTGAGCAGTGGGGTAAGGGAGAGCCTCCCTGACATTGCTACTTGGCGGCAGATACTGTCCTTGTTGTGGTTTCAGCTATTTTGGTTTAGGACCCCATCGCTGTAAGTTCTTGGAATTGAAGAGTTCCATAGAGGATGCTCTCATCCCGTTTCCTGCATATCCTTTTTAATTTGCAAATTAAACAATCATAAAATATCTATGGTGGTACCTGTGTTTGCTGAGGACCTATATCCATGTTTTTCAGGAGGCTGTTGAGGAAGGCTGTGACACTCTCCCATGGATAAATGCTATTGGATCCATCAAGGACGATGACAATGTCCAACTGGTTTTTACACTCTGCAATGCAAATTGCCATATAAGAATTGATACTAACAAAGATGAATTATATCTCAGAGCTCCAGTTACTTTTGTGATCAGTAACAAATGCACGTCCTTCTCAGCTGGGCTGAACTTACATGTTTTGTGTTCCCCTTGCCAGCAAGGCACTTCTTTGTAAGCAGAAATTTAAGAATGGGATTAGAAGATCACATAACTGAAGTGACCCCTACCTTCTTCAACATCAGCCCTCTTAGATTTTTCCAAAGGACCAGGTCTTTAAGATTTTTATCTATACTACTAAATTTGGCTTGTATGAGATCTTAACATGGTGTCATTATTTAAAAAGACCTTTGGCCATAAGTAAAAAGCATAAGCAACTATTTTTAGCAATTGTGTTTGGATGTTACATAGTGCTCTAATGATTGTTTATACTGAGATAAATTCCAAAAGTAGCAAGAATTTAGGTTATATACGGACAATGAAAACATTTACTTAACTTGGTAATGCTGGTAGCTAAGTTAAACAGTTCATATTTTTTTGTATGCCTATGTGTATACATTTGTCTTGCTTGGCACTTCATATTTCTGGATACACAAAAGAATTCCTGTGGCCTGCATACCTTGCACAGACGGAGCAATTGCCTTTATGGTTTCAAAAGTTGAACTGACATTAGAGCAAACTCCAGTTGTGTAATGCAGACGCCCACATTTGTAAGCATAAAGTGGTCCACATGCCTTTAAAAGATGAAAAAGGGTGAAAGGTTTTTGTTGTGGTACCTGAGGAAAAAACAGACTTCTTTTAAAGCTGGCAAAAAGTACTTTCTTACCAGAAAGCCTCCTCTTGGGTTAGTCACTAAGGTTGTTCCAAGTGTCATGTTTTCTTTTACTTCCACAACGTTAGGAACTGAAGTAGCAGCTATAAATAGATTAAAATGTTAAGTATTTGGGAACATGAAAACAAAATATTAAAGTATATATCCCCTACCATGGAGCTTCTAGCTTCTAAAATAAAACCCAGACTGATACTGGTTTCATCAAATATTTTAGCACCCTTCCTCCTCCTTCTTCAATTACAATAATCAAGAAAAAATTCTGATTCTGGCTTTTATCCCAGAAATAAATGAAATGTCTGGGTTGCTGTCTCAAATAGTTTTCTTGAACTGCAAAAAAGAAAGAAGTTAAAATAACAGCACAATGAAAGCAAGAGATTACTGTTACCACAGTTTTGATAATTAGAAAACAAACATTCATTTTTTACCCTGTCCTGCTATAAATGATTTAACAGTTTTATATTTGTTACTGTCAGGTTACATTATTGACATTTAGGCTTTCAAGGGAAAAGAGGAGACAAAAAATACCACAACAGGTATACTTAGTGAAATTCATATTAATTGGGCATATTCCTGTCTACATCATGTATCTCTTGACATGAGCAAGAAAATGATCAATATTTACCCGCATCAAAGTAAGATGCATCAGCCTGGTTACATCTTGCTAAAAGTTTACTGATGGCATTACGAAGGCTCTTTGGAAAGGGTAACCCACGAGTCCATGCTCCATGGCTTTTGTTGCTCCATGGCCAGGACTACCAACCACAGTCAATTAATGCTGGTCATAACAAAGTTTTAAAACCACAGCCAAATGCCTATTCTAAAATTATGAGCATGTTTTCCATAGGACAATGAGAATCTTTAAAATACATTTATTTTTGATGTTGCAAACACAACTTCCTTCACATTTAGCTCTGGAGTCCTAAGTAAATTTTCTCTGTAGAAACAATTCTAATGCATATTTACTAGCTAAAAATCTCCTAAGATTTAACCTCTATTATCCCTCCACACAACACAGCTTTATTTTTTCTCATACCTGGTAAGTTTAGTTTTGTGCAGGGTGATTGGCTGTCCGTTCCTACAGGGCATTTGTATACATCTCCTGTTCTTTTTTCAGGCTGGCCAACTAACGGTGAACCAATAAGTACCCTGGAAATGAAATAAGTTACCTGAAATTTCTTATTTGTTAAGAAAGGCATGAAAGTCAGAAAATAAAACTTAGAGAGCACAGCTACAGCAAGCTGCTGTGCTATGAGTACAGGATGGACAGCAAGAAAAGTATCTGTTACTTCAGATAAAAGCAAAAGCAGACAATCTTCTCTTTAACAAGGACACAGAAAGAAATGTGTCTATAAAACAAATTACATAATAGACCAACAATTTTAAAAATTCCACTGGAAAATGAATGCAATATTGGTGAGTGGATGACAAGTATTAAAAGTAATAAAAAAAGAAAGAGCTTTTTCATTTAATAGCTCCTTGATCTTTAATATATTTTAGAAGAAATTGTATTTTCAATGCTGAGAGACCAAATGCAAAAGGAGAGGCTCACAAGCATCCAGAAAAATTCAGTCTAAAGTAATGTGAGCCAGGAGCATAAAATACATTGTTTTACCTCCTTAATAAAAAATAATGTTATTAAAAGTCTTATTAAAAGAAATCTCAATTTTTAAAAATGGTAAGGATTTTTATCCTGTGCATTTTTTTTTTCAAAATTTGGTGTGATCAAACATCGCTATTCTCATGTAGTACTTTGTAAGCAACACAAATTAGCATCCACTCTTAAATCCAGTTTTAAGCAGGAAACACTGTTTAGAGGTGCACACTGTTTTTGTTCCCAAGTCTTTATTGTCTACACTAAATAGTCCAGCATTACCCAGCAGATAACAACTGGCTCCATTACATGTGTAAGGAAGAACTTGGATTAAATTAGAAATTACAGGCTACACAGGAAAGAGTGTGTACTTTATGAGTAGTAGTTGGGTTAAGTTTTGCTCCTGGACATAAGTGTCCTAAGGGTGAAGAGTTATTGAGAGAACCATTTCAACATTTAATCATAAACTAATGAGTCCAGACAGAAGATACTTGAATAGAATGACATAACATGTAAAATGTAGCCTACAAAAAAAAAAGAGAAAGACAGGAAAAATTTTTTTCACTATTACTAGATTTACTAACTCTAAATTACATACTCTGAATATATACTAGATTTTACTGCTCTTCCAACTATATGCTGTAATGTGTCCATTTTTTACACCAAACATAGAAAGGGGCACCACAGCCTTCCCTTTAACTGCAGAGAAGCTGAGTGAGCTTGACATCCTATGGGAGTTGGTCAGGGCTGAACAGGATCATGTCCCTGTGCTGTTCTTTACTCAGAAGAAAAGGGTGCAATGAAAAGACAGAAGAGATCTGAAAGGCCATTTTGATGTTTTGCAGTGGGGATTTTTTTAGGGGACCACAGTTACATAGAGAAACAACCACAGCCAGGTTCACGGAACTTCTGTTGCTGAAAAGCCCTATCTGTGGTATCTAGGTAGCATTATAGCAATTGACAAAGCACCACAAAGCTGCTTTATATATTAAACTGTCAACCTTCAGATTTCCTGCTCTGGATGGTGCTATGCTGAAAGCAACTTGGAAGCCTGACAGTTTAACAGCAGCTCTGGAGTTAATTTCAGAGATGTTCAGATCTAGTATACTAGTTTAGATTCCTGTCTTCCTTCAGCTACTGGAAGAGCTACCATTTCCAGCTCATACTATTTTTTGGTCTTGAATGGTTTCAGGACAGTTTACAACAATATAGCTAACTCTGCAAAATCCGAGCTCCTAGGACAGATATCATTTCCTGAAGGTCTAAATTAGCTCAAAGAAGGTCATTATTATGCTCCCATGACCCTCATCCTACAACAAGGATGCAAACAAGAGCTAGTATTTTCAAAAGCAGGCTCTGCAGTTTCAATTCTATGAACATTGCCTATGACTAATGGTTAACACTGTGTCACAGTAGTGGCCAGACTCTTGGCATCAGGCAGCCCCTGCACTTGTGTGAGGAATTTCTCGGGCGCTGAAGAACAGTCCAACCTGGTTGTCCCACAGTCAAATGCCTGTTGTCCCAGGCTGCCCATGGGAGTCCTTGGATTTACCAAGAATATCAAATTACTGGCAAAGCTCTGTGAAAAACAGAGCAATCTTCGAATAATCATGCAGACCTCAGGATTCCCAAACCTTTTTACCATGAAATTGTTATTTCAGTCCTCCAGCCCAGTGGTTAGCCTGTGAAGTTTATTTTTACAAGAGAAAAGCATAAGCAGGTATTTATCAGAAGGCCAAGAAGAAATGATACCAGTAAGCATGCCAAAATGTAAGTTATAGTTCAGGAGAACAACAAGAAGGAAAAGACAGGTTAAGAAGGCTCCAAGTCCCAAATATGAATGTATTATTAGTTGCAAGATATAATTAGCTCTCCAAAAGGAAGGGTAGACTACTGTATTAATAAATATTTTGACAGGGAAATCTTCCCACCAGTTAAAATCTCAGTTCAGACAACCTCTAACAGAAAACTTCAAGAGAAAAGTACATCATACAGATTAGTTAGGTAAAACAGAAAAAGAATTAGTTAGGTAAAACAGAATGGCAATTTCACTGCCAATACATAAGCACAAGGAAAAGATAATGATTTTATTTGGGAAATGGAAGAAAGAGGGCTCAGGCAAAACATAGAACTTTCTCAGCTCCATCAAGGAGGAAATTTACCCATTTTGTGAAATCATTTATGTCTTTGAGGAAATAAATGTAGATATAAATTTGGATCTTTCAGCTTCCCAATGTTTTTATGTTTCCTTACGACTGTGTATTTAAGAAATATGACTGTCAGAATCTGACCTTTATGTGTCAGGCATACTTATAAATAATAGTATAATGTCTGAGTCAGTGAATACCCTGATAATTTGGAGTTTCCATTTAAGAAAAGAAAAACAGCTTACCATTTCCCTTCCTCATTTTCATACTGTTGGACGGTGTACCCAAACATGTCTTCCAGAGGCCCACTGAAGGTCATTGCATTTTTCACATCAACATTGGAAGAGCCAACGAGGTGAAAGAGAGCTTTAAAAAAAAAAAAAAGACCCCAGACTTTTCAGAAATCAGTGTTCAGTTATACTTAAGTGAGGGTACAAGACAGGGGTTGAAAGTGGCATATACATATGTATGCAGCTAAATTCAGAAATGTTAGCAACTGGACTTCTGTACCCAAAACTTATTTTGAAAAGTCCATCACTCATTGGTAAATCACAATTCAAATAATATTAAATAAAACATTATTACCTTTAAAAGTAAATATTTTTTTGTTACTTTTACTCCTTTTAGCTCCACACATTTCTAATATAAGTATTATACACAAAATGTTCCTTCCCTCATTCAAGGTAGTAGTTCTCAAATATTAATAAATTTGAGAATTAACTAATTTTCAACTGTTCGCAGAAGACATACACAGGAAAAGAATGTGGAAAAGCTTTTAAATGTATTTAATTTTAATCTATATTGGACAAAAAAAATATACAGTTTTCTCTTTATTCTATTGTAGAGTACTTGCAGACCTTTCGTATTTGGAAATGATTAAAATAAATTTTCAAAGCAACCAGGTGTTGTTATCTCAAATACACCTGTATGTGACTATTTGCAGAAATCCAACATTCACCCTCTTATGAAAAGTTTCTCTGCAACAGTGGTGTTGGACTATGATGAGATCAGCCATGAGAGCAGTTGCTTCTTCAGACTGATTTCCCACACTCTAAAGCTCAGTGACCCTCATCAGGGAAAATACTGTAAAAATATGGCTGTATAGCAAGTTTCAGAGAAAATGAGGCATCTGGGGTGAAAACTTCAGTTTGAAGCAATAATCATAAGCCACTGTGAGGCTTATTAAGAGGTCAAAATTACTATTTATGCATAAAAATAAGGCTAATCATCTTTATTTTTTTTCTTACAGTGATCTCTTCCATCTTTGTCTTGTTGAAGTCAGTTTCAAAACACACCACTGACTGCTGCTGCAGATCTATTTAATTCACAAGAGCCAAAAATTATTTAAATTTGTAGAACACCATGACTACTTAAAAACACAATTATACACAACTTCCATTTCATTTCAAAGAAGCATTTTATGGTAATTGGCTGACATTTAAAAGTTACATAAAAACAGCCAAATCCATAGTACTTGCTGCATGTCAAAGATCCTAAATAATGTTCAGTTACTAAAATAAATCTGGGTTATTCACCACTGAGATGATATTCTCCCAGAAAGCTTGTTACTATAATTAAGCTCCCAAGTGGTCAATGCTAATCCGTTTCTCTTAGCATCTTGCTTCCTGCTTAATGCAGCAAAATTATCACAGAAGACTATTTATCACTCAGTAGGCATTTCCAGTTTCACTGGACAGCCAAAAAGGAAAAGTTTCCTTTGTGTTAAAAATAACGCAAATGGAGGTTTTCCTCCTCCAGACAGTCAGGAAATATAAAGAAGTGAACAAACTAAAACAGAGTTTATTTTTATTCTTTAGAAAAGATTCATTGCAAGTGATAAGAAAAAATTCATGGCTGTTAGTCTGATGGGAAATAATTTGCCAGAAGAGTAATCCATGCATCTTTTGTCTTCCTTAAACATTTATGTTTAAAGAAATTCTGCTATCCCTGTTCATTTGCAATAGGCGTTTTCATCCTCTACTCTTGGTCATCAAAGCATAATTAAAATCAATAAAATAAATTTTAGAAAATTCACTTGTTAACTGGTTCAAATTTTTCCCCTTTTCTCACCTTACAATGATATTTGTAAATTATTATGATATGAAATACTAAAGGTCACAGATTTCAGCTCATCTGTTCCAATTTACTTTCCCATAAAGCCACAGAAGGTTGGACGTGCACTTCGTGTTTTGTAAACTTCAGCACAAGACAAGTTTTGTCACAATGATGCAATATTGACAACTCTTGTGATTTGCATGGTGCACTGACTACGCTAAATGGTCTCGAAGTTTCCTGAATCTGTTATGCAATATACTAGAATCTTGCCATTTAATGACTACACTTCATTAAAATGGAAAAGATAATCCTCATAAAATAAAGTTTGAAAATATGAAATGCTAAAGTGAGAAAACTAGAAGAGAAATAAAAAACGCCAGTTCTTTGCTACTAACCACCCAAATCCTTGTGCTTCTGAGGAAGGTTAAATTAGAACCAGCAATTATAACACATCCTAAAAAATAAAGCTAGAGGAATCCAAAGAAGCTAGATGGACCAGACTAGTCAGAAATAAAAAAAGAAGCGACTCCATACAGTAAGGAACATTACCAGTAGACTTTGCTGACAAGGTCTACTTGTCAAGATCCTTCGTCAACAATGTCGTTTTGGTTGCTAAATGTTACATATTCAGTGAATAACTGAGTAAGCTAGTGGCAGACAAAACCACTGCAGGTTTACAAACTATGCAGAGCACACATCTGGTTCAGGAAATCCCCTCAGCTGGAATTATTTGGAAGCTGGGAAAGGAATATTATATATGCTTGCTCAGTTATTTTTGTCTCTGGGTATCAGCTTACATGTACTCCTGAAGACATGATACTGAGCAAAAACCAGCTTTGATTTAATCCAGGACGGCTATCCTTTTGGTGTCTCATCTTCTCATTCTATCTTAGCTGGAAATCAGATGCTTTGAAGTTTGACTTCATACACAAACTCTGGGGCATATTTTAATAAGAAAATGCATTACATGACCTTCTGTAGCTTCCATGTGCTATGAAACATTATGAGCATAAAGCTTTTGAATAAAAGTAAGGGCCATGATAAGCAGTGTAAGATTAACTTCTTATAAGTAGTAGATTTAAAAGTATCATACTACATTTTCCACAGATTCTGTAAAAGGAAATGTTAATAGTCAGATCTGCATATTTAGATCTGCAGGTGGTAAATGGAGTGAGTGGAGTTTACAGTGACCCACGATACACTGGTAACTAACAAAAATCTACTGGCTTATGGCAAACCTGGCTTTTACGTTTTGTTTCATTCTTCAGTACCGAAGAACATTGTGCATAAGCTGACGATTCAGAACATTGAAAAAGATCACTGATTGTGACTATGAAAATGATACTTTGTATTAATAACAATACCTAGCTTACACTCCTCCAAACTTCCACTTCCAAAAATGCATGCATTCTCATGTGTTCCTAGGAAACTTGTGTATATGAATTAAATACCATTGGCAAAAGCAGTGGAAAAAGAAGAGCTACAAGGAAATTAAAGAAGTTTCTATTCAGACATGGGGATTAAGGAAAAAAAAAATTTTTTTTTTTGGTAAGGTACATGGTATTAGACTATATATTTAATCACAATTAATGTAGATAAATTAACACTATTTTTTCAGACATGGATGACTAAACCGATCAGAATGACTAAAATACAGATCAAAAATTCAGAATATGAATGTTTAACAGAGGATAAAACTGAAGTTCCAGCTTTTAACTTCATGTTCTACAAGAAACAAGGCACTGTAGAAAACCTGGGACAATGTCCCTCTCACTACCAACTTAAACTGAGAACACTAGCTGATACGCATGCAGGACTGTTTGTTGAGCACAGTTTGTACCTATACGTCAAAGGTTGACACTCAGTCACCAAGACAACAACCCAAATAGTTCTATTACAGACTCAAGAGTAGTAGCTCATACTTGTCCAGTAGCCACTAATAAATTTTTTTATGTTTTATTTAATGAGATCTTTTAACCAAACGTTCGTGCTGTCTGCCTTGTTATTCTTCATGCAAAACTAGATTTCCCTGGGACTCAACCATGTGTATTGCCTGGCTACTCTAACATTTGCAAACAGAGAACTGCAGAATAGATTCCCTCACTTTCCTAAAACAGATGGGTATAAACATAACCCAAAATGGAGAACAAAGCTGAACACCTGGCTATTTACTGATGGAAAATAGATCACCACAAGTCACGACAATAAATGACATAATGAAGATTGATTTAGCCAAGAGAAGAGAGTAAATTCAGTTAGGATATTTTATCTGTACATGGTCTGTAGCAAAAAACAATTGCATCCTCTACAAATTGTGGTTATCCTGAATATACAACTGTTTTTTGCAAAAAATGTGAAAGGACAAATTTGCACTTTGTACTGAAGAGGGCTCACACGCTGGCTGCATCCCACTTTTCCCCACCAGCATGTGGTCAAAGTGGTATTTTTTGTTCCATTTGACACCTACTGCTCTAGCATTTCAGGTGTCCTTACCAATTTCCTCTGCATTTTGACAAACAAAGGGGGTCTAAGTGCAATCAAGGAGAACAACAAACCAAGTAGAAATGTCTCACAAAAGTATGCACAACTGGAAAACATTGGAAAACTCAAAAAACCCTGCTTCTACCCTGGAAAATAAAAGGGGATAGAGAAACTGAAGCTGACGACTAACATAAGATAAAACTATTAAACGGAGTTCTCATATAGCTGGACCTCTTGCAAAAATAAATTTTAAAAATAAATTTTAAAAAATGTCTTGTACAGTACATATTACAACCAGTGATGCTGTGAGGATATTTTAAAGACCTGCAAATGACAAAGGAGTGCAATATAGCAACAAGGAACAGTGAATCTAATCAAAATGTGGTACTAGGAAGGATGTCCTAGTTTAAAAGGCAATAACTGATTGCCTTTAAAAGTCTTTTATGTTTATATTGTAAAAGACTACCTGTCTCTGTTGTAATCCTAGAAGGAAGCAAACACCATGAATGTAAGCAATTGGGACCCTCATTGAGGGGAGCAGGACTGAGAGCACTGGCTTGGTCTCCCACAAAAATGTATTTTCAAAATGGTGACAAACAATATCATCCTCTTCAGTCAGAAAACTGTCACTTCAGGAAACTAATACCACTGCATGCTGGCCCTTGCAAGCCTGTGCTGCTGCTCTCAGCTATCTGGAATCAAGCCTGCACCAGAGAACAAACTGTAACCTTCAGCAAGTGCAGCACTGAGCCTCAGCAAATAAAACCTCCTGAAAAGTGCATCGTTTAGCGACACCATGGATTTAGGTTCAGGACTGCATCTGGATGGTA